AACCGTTAATCAATTTTAAGCAAACCAGCAATCAGTCCAATGACAAGTCTGCCCGCGATGAATAAGTAGCGAATGTTTAAATAAGTAGCTTATTACCAAAGATATTACGATTATTACCATTACCACTTATTTACTTATAGCTACTTATTTAAACATTCGCTACTTATTCATCGCGGGCAGACTTGTCATCAGTGCGGGTATTTGCCATTTGTTGGCTCCGGGCTCCGGGGTTTCAAATTCTTGGCTCCGGCCCCAGCTCCGGGGTTTCCAAAATCTTAGCTAAGGCTCAGCCGGAGCCATACCCAGCACTGCTTGTCATTGGACTGATTGCTGGTTTGCTTAAAATTGATTAACGGTTTTACTTTTTAGCTGATCTAATTAAAGAATGGTTCGCGGAGTCATACAATAAAGGACTCGACAAACATGAAAAGAGAATGACAATCGCTGATATGGAAACGGAATGGTGAGGGCTTCAAAGCCTTAAATCTTCACACAAAACGCTTTTCTTTTTTAAGGTCGGTGGCTGCCAGTTTTTTGCCATTGGAGGAATCGCCGGATGACTTTCTTGTGGATGTGCTGCGGATAAATATGGATGAAAGACTGCCTTGATATTGAATAATGTTGTTGCGCTCATCGCAACATGCTTCTTCATCTTAGCAAAATTGTTTGACGTTCGTTACTTGTTCACCACGGGCAGATGTGTGTGTGTCTCACCATCTGGGGTCAAGTCTTGGTCTTCGGGTCCAGCCTTCCAGGCTTGGAAAATGTTCGGTCTTGGAAATTTAAACGATTTTACTAAAAAACGTTGTTTTTTGTCTCAATATAGTATCAAGACAATCTCCATATGTCTGTTTCACAAATGATTCCCATTTATTTCCTCATTAGGTCTAATTTGCCCCACTAAATAAATGAAATTCAAAGATGTTTAACTTGTTTTGACCAATAATAGGTTTTTAATTTTTTTATATTTAATTTTTATTTAAAACATCTTTGAGTTTGCCTTTCCTTTAATTAATTATTCCCTATTTTTTCTAAATCTTGCGTGCTAATTTTTTAAATTGTTCTCATATTTAATGAATATTTTAATTTTTGAAACAGAACTTTTTTTTGTTTAATTCAAAATCTAAATTATTTAATTACTTTTATTTTTAAACCAAAATGTCAAAATTTACCAAAATAAATACAAAATAAATTATTAATATAAAAAAGTGAAGTTTGGTTAAAATGTTTTGGCAGAAAAATATTTCCCAGAGGTTTAAGTTCTAAACAGGGATTGAAATAAATTTTAAAAAATTCAAAAATCATAAAATTCCGCCCTCATCATTAAAAAATCTCAAACAATTCCAACTGTTTTGTTTGTCGGGTCAACAAACAGTGCATGCTTCCAACGTCCATAAATACATTCGTCGACTACCCCATAGACTATACCACGTTGAGCACAACGAGCGTAGAGCTTCTCGAGCAGTACTTGTTGACCATCACTTTCACGTAACATTTCCCGAAGAGTATCAAATGCTCGATTAACAGGATCGCGACTTCTTGAAAAATAAATTTAAAAACAACAAAAAACTCAAATAAACCTGTCAGTAGTTGTTTGTTTATGAGCACGTAGAGATTCTCTTGCAGAATCAAGCAAACGCAATGCTTCTTTCACATCAGCTGCTTCTACTACATTTGAAAGACGAAGGCGAGCTAATGCAGTACATGCTCGAATTGCAGCCTAAAATAAAATATTTAAAATTAAAGAAAGAAAAAGTATACCAAAAGTATTCTAGGTGATGTAAATGTTGAATCTGCGCTATTTTTTGATTCACGTCGAAGCTCAACATATTTATCAACCAAAAGTTCCTTCAGGTCATCCGGTAACACTGGATCCTTTCGTTTACAGACAGCGATGTACTTTCTAAAATATTGTTTCTTTTAATCAGAAATCCAGGAGGATTGCCTCATCCAGGATTGGCGATGGACCTCTTCCCCGGATTTCTTTCAGAAAAAACTGGTGTTAAAATGGTAATTCTTTTGTACCATTCGAAAATATACTCTCATTCTTACTTAACAAAAACCCAGCCCATGTTGTTTAGGATTAAACTCTTACAAGAAAACCTAATAACAAACCTAAACAATTTCATATCCACAGGCTTAAAAGTCGCTTCTGGCTGTTCACCTTTACGGTGTACATAAGTAATATGATCTGCCAATTTTCGATCAGAATCTCTATCAGGAGTATCTTGAATAAGCCAAAGAATATCAAAACGAGACAAAAGTGCAGCAGGTAAACGTATATTGTCTTCAATTGATCTACTTGGATTATAACGGCCATACGCTGGATTGGCAGCGGCAATTATTGCAACACGAGCATTTAATGAAGTCATTATGCCTGCTTTTGCTATTGAAATTGTTTGCTGTTCCATTACCTTTAAATAAGAGTAAAATAGGATTTAGAAAAATTAAAAACAAACCTCATGAATAGCCGTTCGATCGCCCTCCACCATTTTGTCAAATTCATCAATACAACAAATTCCACGGTCAGCTAATACTAAAGAGCCACCTTCCAATGATACCTCACCTTTGAAATTATTTTTAATTAAAAAATATTTTTAAGGATTAATGGACGCATTCTGGGAATAGACATGTAATTTGAACTTTAAGTATAAATCCAAGGCCAATAAAGCCAAAGGTTACAGCGAAGAACTTTTTCCTTATACCTCAAAATGACTAACAGGGATATTCAATGTTCGCCTAATAAGACAAAACAATCCCCATGAAAAAGTTCACTAATTTATGGAAAAATCAATCCCTTTTGTTTGGAATAACCAAAATTATTTGAAAAACTTTTTACCAGTAAGTGTATCTTTAATCACAGCAGCAGTCAATCCAACACCACTCGAACCCCGTCCAGTCGTATATTGTGAGCGAAGGGCAAGTCGGTCAACATAAGTTAATAATTGAGATTTTGCAACTCCAGGATCTCCCATCAACAAAATATTTAATGCACCTCTAATACGCATTCCGCTTGCATTTTTATTGACACCTCCAACGAGTGAAAGCAAAAGTGATTTTTTGACATCAGTTAATCCATAAATTTCAGGTGCAATGCTATATGCTGAAAATTAGGTTTATAGGAAAATATTAAAAAATAATGTCATCACACTTTTTATTAAGAAAATTAGATTTTGATTTTTAGAGATCAAAGAATTCTCACAGAGGAGAGGCCATTCAGCGAAAATTGATCAAATTTCACAACTAAATTAAGTTGTGAATTAGGTGTCACAACTAAACCAAATTTCATCCCGAAGTCCCACGGACACCCCACAACCTATCCTTTGCCGGAGGACAAGGGGTTAAGGCCTAGCTTATATAATAAAAACAAGGAGAAACACATGTTTAAAACCCCAATTAAATAAAAAAAACAAACCAAGATGATCATAAAAATTGTCATGGCTGACTAATTGAATCTCCTCTTCAGTCAATTCATCATCCAAAAATTCTTCATTTTCGTCTCGATTATTTTGAATATGCTATAAAAATATAAAAATAATTCTTTCAAAATTTAATTTTAAAAAATACATGTGCTTCCAAAAACACTTCTGTAACAAGCCCTCCAACCATTTGACGAAAACCTGTTCGAAGTTGAGGAACAAGAACACCACAAACTTGAACAGTATCGCCAGGAATGGCTTTTCGAGTATTTTCTCCAGTCAAATAAACAGTTAAAGAGCGAGGAATTCCTCCGACCGAAACTTGTTCAGTCTAAAAATTGAAAATAATTTTTATTTTTTTAAATTAAAAAACCGTTTCTTGAACTCGAATTTCTTGAAATTTAACGAATTTTGAACCCCGAATTTGCATTTGTAGACGTCCATTTGCTTTACTTTGTATACATTCATTGCTTGGACAATTGAAGACTGGCATATACGAAAGTGAATTTACCTTTTAATTGAAAAATCTTTTTAAAAAAATAAATTAGTAGAACTAATTTTTAAATAAAAAATCCAAATTCCGAAAAAGGAAAATAAAAAAAGAAACAAATTTAGAATCCCAAGGAAACTAAAAATTCGATTGGGTATAAGAAATAAATATTTTAGATCAACAATATCAAAATAAGGCCAACATAATTTTTAAAAAAGTTAAAACAGGACAAGAAATGAAATAGTGCTCATGTCCATAATATTTCTAGCAATGGAAGTTCCTTTACCCTATGCCCCATTAAAGTCTAAAAAATTTTTCTAAGGTAAAAAAAAGAAACTCCATCAAAATATAAACAGAAAAGGGTACATCCCAACCTACCGCGAGCCCAACCTACAGCCGAGGCTATAACTTCGTTAAAAATTGTCGAGTATGGGACGACTTGGTATGGTTGGATTAAGCTCCTCGAGGCGTATCGAAACATACCAGGGCGTTCCGGATTCGACAATTTTGAACGAGGTTATAGCCTCTGCGGTGCTCCCAACAAAAAAAACTTTCAAATTTAATTATTAAAAAATTAAAAAAAAACCGGTTGAAAAGCTTCAGCTCCACAAGTGTCACAAATATAAGTTATAACATTCGCTAAAGGTTTAACTTCTGTTGCCCGAATAACAATCCCTTTAATAGAAACAAGTTTACCAACAAACTGGGCACGAAGTTCTCTAACAGCCAAAGGCTTAATTTCATCCCGAACTTTGAAATAAATTTCGCTAAAAAATTAAAAAAAAATTTGAAAATTAAATAAAAAATAAATACAATCGACGAAGCAATTCTGGTGGATAATTTCTACGAGGATCCTCTTCTTGTGTCAAATCACCTTTGTCAAGACGCATTTTTTTGTCCATATATAAACGTTGGAATAAAAAAGCATCTAAAGCGTCGATTACTGCTGGCTAGGAAAAAAGGAGGGAATTTTTAAAGTAGAATTAAATATAAAGATAAAAAAAAGACAAAAAATTTTTCTAATTTTCCCAATAAATATTAATTTTCAAAAATAAAACAAAGATACGAGTTTTTCATTAAATAAAAAATAGGGTTGCCGTTTTCGAGACGCGCCGACGTTCGAGTCATTTTTTTGAACCTCATTTTTTCGGACCGGACAGACCGAGTATTTTTCAGGCCAAAATTCGATGCCCGACTCGATCTTTCGGACTGGACCGGGAACCCTAATAAAAAAATTTGCAATCTTGGAGTGATAGGAAATTTACTGAAATTATCTGAACCATCCCCAACTAAAAAATTCCCTAAAAGCACCCTCACATCCAACTGATCTCCACAAAATATTTAAAAAATAAACAAAAAAACCTGTTCATCCCCTAGCGCTTCCTCAACAAGTTTTTGAACAACTTCACTAAAAAGTAAACGAAACCGGACAGTATTTCCATTAATTGAAGTATAGAGTTCAGGATTGTGGACATAAACATCGTCTTGTTCTATATAAAAAGAAATTTGTTGTCTTTTAGCAATTTGTTCAATTTCATTTAAATATTTGAAGGTTTTTAATTCATTTTCGTCTTCAATATAAAAATTACGAAGAAAATCCTCAATTTGTTCCTTTGCCCTTTCATAATCGTTGTCTGCCATTTTTCTAAAATTTAAAAAAATTTATTTTAAATTAAAAAAAAATCAAACAATTATTTTAAATAAAAATCCTTCGCGCCTAATTCATTAAATATTTTCCAAAAATGTTTTATTTCAAAATACCAACAAGAATAAAATTAGCCATTATGTAGTTGTATTTATTTTTAAAATATTAAAGTTTGTCGTTCTTTATTTTTGTCTCTCCTCTTTTTTTGTAATCTCTCTCTCTTTATTTATCTCTAACTAATACATATTTTATTTTGTTAAAAGGTAATTGTACAAAATGCCAGTAGTCGATAATTATAAAAAATGCCATCAAAGCCAAAATTTAACAAAATACCAATAAAAAAAATTTTTTTTCATAATTAGAGTTGACATTTAAAATAAATTACGTGCTTTCAACAAAAAATTTCAATAAATATAAACGTCAACAAGCAAAATTTGCATTCTTTTTTTATTTCCACTCATCAATACATATATAAATTATGTTAATTATTTTTGTTGGGTAAAATTTGAATGGAAAGCATTATGTTTTTTTGCAAAAAAGTGAGTGAGTGAGTGAATATTTGTTTGTTTTTTTTTAATTTTTAACGATGATAAAGTACATTGTACATATACATATACATATGTACATTGTACATCAAAAATTATTTTTATTTAAATGTACTTTTATTTAAATGAATTAATATTTAAAAATAATTAAATGATGGAATTGTACTTTTATTATATAAAAATTATAATTTTTCTTCCATTAGTAAGAGCGAGGTAAAAGTTTAATGCCGGGCAGGCTTCGATCCTGCAACCTCTGGCAGTTATTGCTAGGTGCTTCCGCTCACCACGTACAGGTGCTTTACCAACTGAGCTACCGGGACGCTGCTTTCACCTTCTCTTTTAATAGATCTTAAACCTTCGCCTAGTGAGCTTTTAAATGCTAGCCAGCTGGATTTTTCTCTTCCTTACAATTGAATGCCGATATCTTTTTATTTGACTACATTTTTGTTAGTTAGCTTACATTTTGTTGAGTATGAGAGAGAAAGGAGTTGAGAAGTTGTTTCTCTTTGAAGTTCTCCCCCTCCATTTTAAAAATATCCCAAACTCTTAGTTATACCCTAAAATAAAACAGTTAGTTAATCTCTCGTTAATAGCAGAGGTCGACCGGAAATGACGAAGGTATCGGAACTCGGAACTGTCAGAAAACGGAAATGGTTCAAAAGTCGGAACTCGGAAATCGGCCTTTTCGGAAATCGGAATTCCATCGACCTCTGGTTAATAGAGACGTTTTAAGGGATAAAGGTAACATTAATCTATAGAATTTACAAAAAATTATACCTAATTAAATATTTGTTAATTAACTACTGAGTAATTCTAATTGCCATTATTCTACTTAATTCTCAAGAGTTTAAAATAATTTTTTTCTTCCGTCAAAAATAATTGAAGAACTTTTTTTATAAAAAAAGATGGATTAAAATTAATTTTAAAATTTTATTCAATAAAATTCCCAAGAGAAATAAAAAAAAAGAAAAAACCTTTTAATGCCCTCCTCCCACATTTTTAAGTCAATTTCCAAGCCTTTTATTATCTTTCTTTAAAATCACCCAAAAATTCTTTATCTTTTCCAGATTTTATTTTTTTTTTCTAATTTTAAACATTTGTTTATAAAAATATTTTTATAAATCACATCATTTAAAAAAATTTCTTTTAATTTTTCACAAAAATATTTTAAAAAAATTCAAAATAAAAAATGTTTTTTCAATTAATTATTTTTATTTGTTTTTATTTTTCAATTATTACAACATCAGAATTATTAAGTAAAGAAAATAAAATTGCAGAATCTATTATTGTATGTTGATTAATTCGAAAATAATTTTTTACCCACTGGCCCTGTGTAATACGAGTAAATCCCGACTAAGCTTGCCAAAATCGTAAAATATAGTCGTTTTTGCTGTGATAGGACTCTGTCGGACTGTACCGATTAAGTTTACTGGATATACCGTCACCGGGATACACAAAATTATGGTGAGGGAAGACCCTCCGATGAGGGAAGACCCTCCGAAAGTCTTCCCTCATCTTTTTGGCTGCACTTTAGCCCGTGGCCCACTCAGAAACTCCACCCTATGGTTTTTTGGTTTTATGGACCTATATTTCAGGGCTCGGATCGACAAAATGCTAATCAAAAGTACAAAAATCATGATTTCAAAGTACATAGGGACAAAATTTCCTAAATTAAAGTACGCTCAAAATTAAATTAGAAAATATTTAATCGTGCTCAAATCTTTTATATTTCTTACCTAAATGAATCTTTTCTAATAATTTCTTGTTTCCACTGAGCAATTTTGTGCATTTCAATGCATGACATGTCAAAATTCGCTTACAGACGAAATCAAGCCCTGACAGTCTTAACCTCAAGCAAGTTACTTTCTTTCGACCATTTTCAGCGCTGCAGGCGAAAATTTTGAAAAATTTCGGGGTCCTTAAGACAGATTTTTCCCATTTTTAGCGCCGCAGGCGAAAATTTTTAGAATTTTGGAAGGCCGTAGATAAAAAAATTCACTTTTTCAGCGCCGCAGGCAAAAATTTTTTGAAATTTGAAGCCCAAGACGCGAGATTTCTTCGTTTTTCAGCGCCGCAGGCGAAAATTTTGAGAATTTTGAAGGCCGTAGGCCAAAAAAATTAACTTTTTTTGCCCAATCTTTCCCTAATTTCATTTTCAATCCAAAATGTTGATTTTAAAGTACATACTTTCAATAAAGTACAAATTCAATTTCGTAAGTACGAAGGTCGATTTTAAAGTACTGTACTTTCAAATAAAGTACGAATCCGAGCCCTGCTATATTTCAGTTCGTAGGCATTTCCGCAGATAGAGAGTGGTACCATCAACTTGGCTCACCGAGACGAATCGAATGGTATATAATTTGTTCAGTTTCTGAATGGGCCACCAGCTAAAGTATATCCACCTCTTCCCTAATCTATATCGTCACATCGTTTGTACCTTCATCTTGGATGGTATTTTAAGAATGGTTCTTCATTAAGCGATTAATTTTCATTGTTTTTTGCCTTTAATTTCCAGTTATCTCGTTTTGAAGGGTCTGAGATTTAAATATCTTTTCCTTCCATAAAATCCTTATATTTCTTATAATTAGGATTTTGGTGCAAAAACGTGTACTTTAGCTTTTGAATGTTGGTCTACAGAACCTGTAATTGAAGATGGAAGGCCTTTATTTATGCCATATATTGGTAGATATATTTAAATTAATTTTTAAAAAATATTAAAATTTAAAAGCAAAAAGATTAGAAATTGGAGGTGGATTGCATAATAAAAGTGGGAAAGGTAAATTTAAAATTTTGTAATAGTGCATAATGTAAGGATACCTAACAATTATATGTAATTTCTCAATGGATCGGGCGTCCCAGATTTTTTGATCCGTTAGACAGGGTAATTCAAACTAGAGACCAGATTGGGAGGGTCGTACGAGATATCTCGAAAATCTAGACTCGATAATCGAGATTTTTGTACGTGATCTCGTCTCGATCCGGTCTCTAATTCAAACCCAATTTAAAACCGGTAACTCAGTTAGAACTAAAATGTGCTAGAGTGCAATCAGAATGTGTAGCTTAAAATCGTTTGGAGGAAGTTTTGATTAAATCTCCCTCACTTATGCAACTCTGATTTACTCAGAGAATTTTTTAAATCTTTGAGCTAATTTAGAAAAATTACTAAAAATTATTTTTTAAAGGAAAATGTAGATGTAAAGAAGGTCGATGTATGTTTTACTCATTACCAGAGAGAATATTTTATGAATGCCAAGAAATTTAATTAAAAAAATATTTTTAGAAAGTAAATTTATGTAAATAAAATAAATTCTAAAATAACTAAAATTCTTTATGTAAAAATAAAAAAAATATATTTATTTAATAAAAAAATATCTGAAATCATTTGCTAGTAAAAAGACTAGAAAGGGGATACGAAGGAGTAAAGGAGGGCGTTGAAAAAAATTCGGAGAGTGGGATTTAAAAGTTTCAACTCCCCAGAATTTCAGAAATGAGGGAATTACCCTACTAGAAAGTAATGGTCAAAAATTAATTTTTAACTCATAGAATCTGGTTTGGAAAATTTTCTAAAAATTATTTTCACTCGAATAAGAACTGTAAGCTTTTGCCAGACTGTATTAAGTAAAAAATAAAAACTAGGTATTTGGGGAATTTAAAAAAATAAATCACCGGGCGGAATTAAAAATACAAAAAATATATGAGAGATTTTGGGTTATTTTTCGAATCTCCAAATAATTTTTTCCCTCAAAATTTACTTCTTTCTTTGTTGCATAATATTTGTTTGTGTTGTATATTGGTCCTTTCCATCCAAAAAATATGTTGTACATTCACCCTTTCCCTTTAAATAATTCTTAATTAAAAAATTTTTTTCCTCTTCCCCTCTTACTTTAATTTCGACTTTTCCTCTTTCAACAGCAATAAATTGTTGAAAAAAGCATTTTAATAAATTAAAAGAAGACTCGCTTATTTGAATTTTGTTGGCTAAACCTGTCGATTCCTTTTTTTAAAAATAAAATTTAAATAAAAATATTTCTTGTTTCTAAAACCATTCTGGAGGCCATATTTACTGTATCCCCAAAAAGACAATAACGGGGAGCAGCTAATCCAACAACTCCAGCAGCTACAGAACCGCTATGGAAACCAATACGAACCTTTATTTGGATAAAAAGATTTGTAGATAATTAATTTTTAAGGGTTTTCTGATTCGTTGGTGCTCCGTGGCTAGTAGAGATCGGTATTTTCAAAAATCCTGGATCTGGATTTGGGTTAGCAATTTGGACAGGATTCTTGATCTGGATCCAGAAAAATCCAAAACGATCAAAAAATGCCTGGATCTGGACTCTGGATCCAGGAAAATCTAAACTGAATCCAGATCCAGACCGATCTCTAGTAGCTAGTAATACATAAATGGGAAAATGTGAATTGGGTAACTGTCCTTTCATATGACTTTTAAATTCCGTTAAATAAGAAATTTCCTAAAATTAATTAAAATCCCCCACCATAATAATCTCTTCTGGACGATGCCCAACTTTAAAGTTTGAAACAAACTAAATAAATAAATTTATTTTTATTTTCCCCATTAAACATACTGTACGCATTTTAAGGGCAATATCTGCAATATGCTGTACATGTAAATTACCGTTTTCACGAGGGACACCAGAAACAACCATATAAGTATGTCCAATCTATTATTTTTTATGTAAAAAATTTTTTTATGATAAACAAAATATTATGGTATTTATCAAGGGGATATTAGATCATGAATTTTAAATTAACCATAAAATAAATAAAAGATCCTGCAACATCCCGAAAATTATTAGAAAATATTTATGAAAAATTTAAATGTTCTAGACTCCCCTTCAGTGATTTTATAAGCATTCGGCTTAACAAACTTTGCTCCGACCTATCAAAACTCCCCCCAAACCTCCCAAAAGATCTTTTAAAAATCCACCGTTTCAACTTTAAAAGCATCATGTTTAGCTATAATAGCATCAAATCCACTAAACATATCATTCAAAAAAGCAACAACTTGGTAAGGGGTTGAATTGGCAGCCATTCGAGAAAATCCTCGAATATCAGAGAAAAGAACTGTTGAATTTGTATATAATTGTGGAGGGACTGGCCGTCCAGCCTTTAAATCATCGGCTATTGTTCTAGAGGGGGGAAATTTAGTGATATATGTTTTAAGACTGATTCTATTATATGTATATTTTTCAATTTATTCGATGTACTCACCAAGAGTCGATCGGAAATGGCGAAGGTACGGAAACCGGAACTGTCGGAAATTGGAAATGGAAGATCAGCCTAAATTTCGGAAGACGGAATTCCGATCGACTCCTGATACTCACAATTAATAGCAAATAAAAGGAGGTAAAATGGATAAGTAATTTTTTGAAGAAAAAGTTATTTAGCCTTCTATGGATCTTCTAAAATATATCTCCTACATTCAATATAATTTAAAAAATCCCCCAATAAAAAATCTCCCTACGATGGCAACATATTTTTAAGAAGACGATCAGCTTGTTGTTGTGCCTCTTCTAATAATTGAGTCCTTTCTTTAACCAACAATTCTAAATTAGCTGTATAATCTTCCATCATTTTCATCATTTGGTCAACTAAAGAACCACTTCCCGTCGATTTTAAGTTTGCATTTACAATTGCTTTTAATCTTTTTATATTTGGTCTCATTTCTGGAATTTCTAGCCAACAAGCTTCTAATGCCTTTTAATTATGTTTTTAATATTTTACTAAGTAAACCCTAAATAAACTCTATACATATGTATGTATACTAAACAACTCCAAAAAGGTCAAGGAACGACAAGCAAAGTCTTACCAAATCACAGAATATTTTAAAAATCAGAATTTTTCAGAATTTTTTTTTAAATTCTGTTTTCCAAAATAATCTAATTTAAAAAAGTCTAATTTTTTAAAAATATTTTAATCTTACATGAAATTCCGATTTTTAAAATATTCTGTGTTATGGTCATTCCGTGAGTTGGTCGTTTCTTGATTTATCGTTCCTTGTCTTGTCCGTTCCTTGAGTTAGTCCGACCACGGCATTAATTACCTTTTTCTTTGGTGGTGGTAGGAGAGGGTGTTAATAGGAAAACGGGCATTAAGAGAGTGGGTGTGTTAATTGAGAAGATTTTTAACAAGTAAAATATTAAAGGGAATAGTTACAGAAAGTAATTGTAAATTATAAGCTTCTTCAGCAGGATTAGCAACAGTTTGTACTTGATTTGGAAATATTGGCCTAATAATTTGGTCATTATCATTAGCCATAGCAATTCTATTGAGTAATTCTTTAAATTAAATTTTTTTTAATTTAAATTCCGAAATTAATAAACTTTGTGGAGATAAATTCTTCTCAACAAAAGGCTCCAATTTAAATAAAATTTGATATAAAACCATTCCACAAGAATAACTTAAAAATATATTTAATTTTTTTTATAACTTTCCTTAGATTAGTTATTCGATTAAATTATTAGATTCTCGTTTAGAAAAATATTTTGAAAGAAATTTCTTTCTGGCTCAAAGAAAAGAAATGGAAGAAAAAGAATTGGAAAGTAAGTAGTCTCTCAAATATGTAAATTAATAATTAAAAATAGGGTAGCTCCCCGTCGCCCGCACCACGACCCAAAAGTCACCCCGACCCCGAACCCCGACATGCCCTCCCCGGCAAACCCCGAAGGCTCTGGGAGCTACACTATTAAAAACACCCTCCTTTGAAAAATTCGAACTCAAATATGAGTACACAATACTCGAAGTACATCCAATTATCACCCTCACACTCAAGTGAAAATATTCACGTTAGTGTCGTTTTACATAAGTAAATTCGCGTTTTAATATTAATTTCCTTGAGATAACTTACATATCAGATGCTTGGGTTCCAATAGGCAAATGTTTTGCACTCAAAAATTCGCGAATTATTTCAGGAGCGTATTGGACATATTCTTTTTAATTAAACAAATTTTAATATTAAAAAATAAAAATTATTTTATACTTTTCATATTTGCCTGATCTCTAACTTTATCGTTAACAATTGCCTTTAAAATTAAAAAAATTTTTTGGAAGTATTTACTAGATCCTTCTAAGACTCTTGATCTGTGGTCTTGATTCCAAGACTTTTCTTGAGTTTTTTTCGGTCTTGGTCTTGGAAAATTTTCGGTCTTGGAAGGCTTTATTATTTACTGAATAAATAAAGGGAGGGAGGTGAATTAAAATTCTTCTATTCTCCACTCACCTCTTCCAATTTTTGATCTTCCAATGACTCCGAAGAACTAACATCACGTCTTTCCTTACCCTCACGCTAAAATTTTTTAACAAAAATTTTTCAAAAATTCCTTGTATTTTTTACTTCTCTTTCCTTCTGTTTTTCACGTTTTTTCTCTTCTTTTTCACGCCTTTTCTTTTGTTTTTCCCTTTCAATTTCACTATCCATCATATATTTTAGTTCATTATGTCTAAGTTTATCCCCACATAATTCATCGGTAACTAAATATTTTTTAAAATTATTTAAAAAAATTTTTTATTTTAAATATTCCACCAAAATTTGTTAATTTCACATTCCAATTAGAATCCACCAAACAATTCTTTAAAAAATAAAAATAAAGCTCTAATATTTTTTTAGAATTTTTTCCCCAAAAATTAATTTAAAAACGAAGGCTTTTTTAGAGAATCTTAAGGATATTTGTGCAAAAATTTAAAAGATTTAGGACTTTTAAGAATATTATGAGTTAGCGAACAACCTCTGTGCCCGTATCATACAAACTCGGGCACCTGACGATGGTTACCTGACTATGGTCACCTACCACAAGGTCACCTTATGACCGTCTCGAAAAAATCCTGGTTACGGACCTGGTGGTATCTAATATTTATTTAGCTAATATTCAAGAGTAGTCGGTCGGAATTCCGATTTCCGTCTTTTGAGCCGATTCCGATTTCCGACAGTTCCGATTTCCGGCACCTTCGCCATTTCCGAGCGACCTCTGATCTACATAAATATATTTTTCTACCTGTAAACAAAGAGATCCGTGCATTCTCAAAATAGAATTATGTAAAAAGAAAAGTCCTTTAACAACATCTTTAGCAAAAGAAGCTTGAAAATTTTTTCCAATTTTCAAGTCGGCATTAAACAAAACATCTTCCAAACTTCCCCTTTGACACAAAATCCACAAACAAATAAATTCATTTTGTTGATTAAAACAAATTCCATAAAATTTATTTAAATTCTCATTCTCCATTATTTTTAATTCTTTTAAACGGCTCAAATCGTGTTTGTTAAAAGAAATATTTCGAGTTTGTTGATAACGTTTATATGCACATTTGACACCGTTGGCTACTGCTTGTTTGGCTTGTAGACGACTATTCGCCTTTGAACCGATACTTTCTTTAAAAAATAATTAAAGTCAAACTTCTTTTTTATATAACCCTTTATGGGGAGATAACCCTTCTTATAATCTGTATATTAAATTGGGGATATTTCTTATACAGCAGAGGCGGGTCGGAACAGGCAGAGCTGTCGGAACTCGGAAGAGCAAAAATCAGAATTCCGACCCACCTCTGTTATGCAGAAGCACTTCCTAGTGACCAGCCGAATTTAAAAAAAAACATAACGTTAAATTAAGGATTTCTTAAATTTTGGGGGTTTTAAAAATGAGGTTTGACTGCAATTAAGATAATAAGGAAAAAGAAAGAGAATAAACTTTGGTTATTACAAATTTCTTTTCTGGAATAACCGAAAAAATCATTCTTACCATCGTATGAATGACTTTCAGCTGATCTACTTTGCATTGACATTGATTTACCCTAAAAATATTTAATTTTTTTAATAAAAAAATTTATTTACCATTGATGTTGATTTACTCTGAAAATTTTTTATTTAATATTTATGTTTAAATTTATTTTAATTATTTTTTATGCCTCGTGGAGCTGAAAAACTTGACACTCTCTTTTGTATTTGGAGGGATATTTAAGGATTTAATACGGTGACCGGCACGGGACCGAACGGAATTTTGAAAGATCCTAGTCTCGCAAGAAATTGCTTTCCGAAGGAAAACTGTTGGTTTTAGCCTTCTTTCTACACGCATTATCAATTACTTCCTCAGTCATCGAGGGAATTTATTTACAAATTTATTAAAGTATGAATAAAAATTTAAAGAATGAATAAAACGGATTTCTAAGCTATAATAAGTTAATTTTTTTTATTATTTATTCTTACCTTTCCTCCTCGAACTTCAAGTAATCTAACTTGTTCACGAGGAATACGCCTTCAAAAAATTTATTTTAAAAATTATTTTTATTCATTCTTTTACCAAGTCATATCATATAACATTCTTTCCTTCTCTTTCATATGTAAATAATAGCCAGTAGGTATTGTTACACCCAAAAATAATATTACACCAAAAAGGACATAAAAGAATGTATAATCACATAAACCCCCATCAAATCCACATTTTGGCATATCTGGGGGCATAGCCCCATCTGCTGTTGAATAATAATGGGACATAGTTTCGTGGGCAACGTGTTCTGAACAATCATTCTCACTCATTGCACATTTTAATCTATCTCCAAGACGAGCAGTTAATTCAACTACTATTTTCATTGTTCCTAGAAAATTATTTAGGTATATTTCTCCAAGTAAAGGTTTTTGCACGAATAGCTCTCTCGGTATAGCTTCCAGCTCCCAAATTTTATTATGGACACTCAAACCCAAATCAATTCAAAGTCCCAAACTCTTTCTGACAAACCATTTTTAGTATGATAAGTAGCATAACTGGGCACTCTAATAGCTTTATTGTTAATCAAAACTTGTCCGGTAACTCCAATAAATTGTCTGGCAGTCATTTTCTTCCAAATATACAAACCATCCAAGAAAACACTTTGATTTTTTGTTTCTTCATAAGCATCCCTAACAGCTAATCCATAAAGGAATAATGCATCATATAAAGACATATATGATAATGTTGCATACTTAAAAATTTAAAAATTTATTTAAAATACTTGAAAGATTGGAATTGAAGTTTGGAAATAAATAGGTATATTATTCTGAACTAAATAACAGAATCTAGAACATCGACCATGGATTTTATTAGAGATCGAGTTGGGTCTGAACCCAGGCCAGGGTTTTTCCTGTACCCAGAGTCCAGGCACAGGCATTTTTTTACCTTCCTGGGTTTTTCCTGGACTACAGGCCAAGGATCCGGCCAGGTCACTAAACCAAATCCAGAGTCCAGGAACAGACCCAGGCTTTTCAAAAATCTCGACTTGAATTTTATTTATGTATTAAGCGGGTTTTAAACATGAAAATAACACGAGTGGATTTATATCGGAAAATCTTTGGGGAACATCTCTCGTTTTGGAATGTAGATTCTCAAGGATAAAATCACCGTTAGCAAAATCCAAAAAACTCACATAAGTACTAATTACCCCAGTAACTTTATTTAATCTCAATTCAAAATCTTCGATAAACTTTTTATCATATCCATGTGCAGTTATTACAATTGCATCATCAAAAGCAACTCGAGTTTCCTTTAAGAAAATAAATTTTTTTGAACGACTTCAAAAGAATTTTTTTCAAACAGATTTTTCAATATTTGTAGCCTCCCAAGGGTAATGATCGTGTAAATGTGCAAGCCAAGGAATAATATAAACATATTCTGGAGTTTTTAAATGTGAACGAAGTGCGGCAATCATAAAAGATTTTGCTGAATGTAAATCCATTCCCATTTCAACGATTATAACTTTTTTTAAAAGAAAAATTAAACTGTTAAGAAAATTGAGAAAAAGGAGAGAGAGATTATTTGATTATTGCTTAAGTTCAAAATCCATTGCCCCTCCACAGATTTCAGAAGTTTGTTCTATTCGCATGGTATTTTATTGCGAGAAATTAGTTTAGTTTTTAATTAAATGATTATTTCAGTTAGTTAATAAGGCAGAGATTTTAAATAAATTTTGGTTTCTTCAAATTCCTTCCTTTACCTCTAGCTCTATTTTTTAAGTGTCTAAGTCTTCCAGTAGCAATAATTTCATCAGGAGTCATATAAGCTTAAATTAAACAATTAAGAGAATTAATAAATGAATTTTTTAGACACGAATAATTCTTCTTTAGATTAAAATATTTCCGTCAATTAATTAACATACGGTCTAATTCAATCTCTGCGTTTATTTCAATATTTGCATCTTTTAGATAATTACGGAGAGAATGTAGAGCAAGACGTTCAAAATGCATACTTGGACGGACTAGTCCAACCTTTTTAAATTTATTTGCTCATTAAAACTACTTAGTCATATACCTGTTTCCATCCATATAATTGTAAAAATGTGAGTGTTGCTCTAGCCATTTCTGTAGCTGATGTAAGTGCCACAGACCCGAGAGTGTCAAAAACTAGAAAAAGTAAGTTTTAAATAAAAATAGTCATGTCTAGTAATTTTAATTAATTTACCTGCTCTGTCTGAGAGAGCATCATCTCCAGAAAGGTGAGCAATAATAGGCACATTCCATCGAGATACAAGACGGCCAATAATTAACATTTCTAAAAATTATTTTTTTTTTGTGAATAAAGTCCTAAAGGTGGGAGGCTTTATAAAACGATGGAAATGATGATAATAATTACTATTTAAATAAATTTCTTACCGTTATTACATCCCGGACCAAAGTAAATGCTTGTCTAAAAATGTTAAAAATTATTTTTCTACCAATCTTATATTCATTACATTCTTCATGTAATGGAGGTAAGCTGCATGTTCAACACCACTAAATCGGGTACATGACTCCATTCTTAAATTAATTTTAGTTGTGATATAAACGGGGGATTAATTAAATATTTATCAAAGGGAATATTTTAAAAAATAATTTTTCAAAAAATATATTTACGTATAAAATTGTAGTTTAATTTCACGAGGTAAAATAGAACGTTCTTTCATATCATTATAACACCTACAAAAATATTTCTTTGAATTAAATAAACCAAAAACTTGCATTTCTAAAATTTGAGGTTCGTGTATAATATTTGGATTGTTTGGCTGTAGATGTGCTACTTTAATTACTATATTTGTTTTGCCTGAGGCAATCAGAAATAATATAAAAATGGGAGGGATTAAGAAGAATTTGAAAATTTTTGGAGGTTTTTTGGCCATTTAAATTTTATAATTTTGGCAATATCTAATTAAAAAGTGATTAAATATATAAATTCGAACCTCGATATAGGTGACTCTTCGATTTAACTGATAACTAACCTTTCATAAAATAAAGAAACTATAAAGTTTAAGTTGATATACTTTATTTTAGATTTATACCGTATTTCCATTAATAACTATTTTGGTAAATTATTGTGAGGTCATCAATGGATGAGGTAATCAATGGGGGTGGGGTAATTATTTGAAAGAGGGTCTGTATCTATGTCTGTAGAGTCTGTATTTTGCCTGTATCTCGGCCCAAAATTAAGACCGGGGGTTGATTTTGGGGTCATTCGACACAGCTCAAAAAGTTCTATAACCTATGACTGACTAACCATTTTTTACATATTTACCGAAAAAATTGACTGGGAGGAGGGGAGAGGGGAAGTAAATAAGTATCGTGATATTAAGTGTTTGATATTTGTTATGATCTATATATTACAATGATTCAGAGGAATGTTCCACTTACTGTAGAAAAGAAAACTTTGAAACAATTAGACAAGTAAAAACAGTTGAAGCTTTCAAAACTAAAATTGCTGCTTCTTAAGAGATAAATAAATACATTTATTGCTTTTAATCCTTCATCCCCCCCCCTCATTTATTTCCCCTATTCCCCCTAATAAAAACTCTTTTTATTAAAGCTTAATTTACTTTCAAGTTTTTAATATTTAAATAAGCCAATCAACACTAAATTGTTATTAGAGACAGTTTTTAAAAGTTGTAAAAATAATTTAAGAGGATTAAAGAGGCAAATAGCCCCACTCAATTTAAAATAAATTAATAGAAGGAATTGGGTGGGAAGAAAATGAATAAAAAAAAGAATTAATGAAATAAAATTTAAAAAATTATTTTTAATTATTTAAAATTTTAAATAAAAAAGTAATTGCGGAGATCAGGATTGGATTAAAGGAAATCTGCAATAGTCTGCTTGTTAATTGAATTTGTCTAATTAGGGAAAAGTAACTAATTTAAAGACTTGCAGGAAGAATTAGGGCTGTCGGATAGTTGGAAATCCTGCGATATCCGGATCCAATAACCCTAGCAAGATGTTAGTATTCCTTAGTTTTTTAAACTACTGTATTTACTCGATTAATTCTCCTTGCCAGGGATGTGTTCGTTACAATAATTCTATATCTTCAACTAACCTTCTGCAGGTTAAAATTTCAAAACTCGAATTCAATTCAACTTCCATCCCACGACTGGGTTGAAATATTAATTCCCCATCAGGTTAGCAGGACAATTTCTTTTTTTTATCGACACATATAAAATGTGAAACAATAAATTCGAATGATCCAAAAAAATAAAAAATCGAATGATCCCATTCGAATGATCCAAAAAAAGAGAATGATCCATAAAAAATATTCAAAGCTTTGGAAGACAACTTTCAAGTATTCCTTTTTTTAATTTAAAGGTCATCGGTCAAAACTTTTTCTTTAAATAAATTAACTCTTCTCTTTCATCTATTTTTATAACAACATAAGAAATTTGATCACTCAAAACATTTTTTTCTTTCGTTCAATTTATTGTTTGTCCATTTATTTTTTAAAAGTTTCTGTTTAAATGTTTTAGCACTTTTTCGTTAAAAAATAATTTCGATCCTATTTTATTTCAAAAAATATTTTAATGATTTTATTTTTTATTTTTATTATTTCTAAATTTTCTTTTATTCATTCTAAGGTTTGTTTTAATTTTTAAACCTCACTTTTACAGTCTCTCTTAGGGAGGAATAAATAGTACAGAAAATCGAGGTATACCCATTATTTTTGGAGCATCGCTTAGGTATCTCTCCCTTACGCTAACTAAACTTAACTCTAAAAAATTTTTTGAATTCACAGCCATTGTTGCTGTCAACCCCGCTCGATCATTATTTATTATGCCTTTATTAATTCATTTTATGCCCCAAGATTACAAAATACCTTTTAATCCATAAATAATAATTAAATATTTAACAATTAATTAAGGGTACTGTAATCAATCTCTACGAACAACCAGGAACATTGAGAAGAGGTCCCGGTGATATAGCAAATCTTTGGCTTGGAGGGCTTATTGTTGGAGGGTTTTTGGAGAATATTTTAAAATTAAATGAAAATAATTTTTAAAGTTTCCACGGAGCAAATATTCGAAATGCAATAAAAGCAAATTCTTCGAGTAAATGGATAAGATACCAAAATGATAGACATCAATATATAATTCCATACATTATTAGTGGAAAGTTTGGCAAGTTTAATAAATTTCCAAAAAAATTTTTGGACCTTTTTTAGATAATCAAGAGCACGGAGTTATTGCCCGTGCAATGTTAGCAATTGCTGAGGTAATAAACAAAAATAAAAATATTTAAATAATTAATTTCCCCCAATTAGAATACTTGTATAAAATTTGAGAGGAGAGGAGGTGAAGCTGATTATGTTGATTTAAAAAATGAAAGAGGAGAAGGGTAAGGAGGGGAAAAGGGTTTTTGAATTGTAATTTTGGGGGAGGGAAATTGGGAATTCTTCAAAGTTTTTGAAGCTTCTTTCAATGTTCTGCATTATAATAGAAAGAGTTTATCGAAAGCTTAGCCACCGGGCCTGCGAACTTCTGACAGTTATTGCTAGGCGCTTTCGCTCACCATATACAGGAACTCTACCACTAAATCACCGGAGCAACGACTAATGCTTTCTCTTTTACGTGTCACGACACTTGCAGATATGACATTTGCAGACCCGACACTTGCAGACCCGACTTTTGCAGACCCGACATTTGCAGATACCGACACTTGCAGATATGACACTTGCAGATCAGACATTTGCAGATCCGACTTTTGCAGATTAGACCCATTTCGCTCTCTTCTTTACCTTACCTATACACCGTGGAGTGTTTGCTGCTGCGGAGGAATCCTGGGATGCCCATATCATCGATGATAGAATAGGATCATGTTACGAGCCCAGAGCCCATCGACCGTTGACTCCCCGCGAGGCGCGTGCCGCAAAATCCCGCGCGAAGCGCGGGGTTTTGCACAAGCGCCTCGCCGACGCTCCATAGGTCTATGTTGAACATTTTGAACCTCAGGAAAAAATAGAATCTCCGAAAAAAGTGGTGCCGTTCGACTCAGCTCGTCGAGACGAATTGGTATGGGTCTTATATCAAAACCTTTCCACCGGTATACTATACTATATCCTTTGATTTTTTTAAGATTTTTAAATTTTTTTCAAAAATTAATATCTGCAAAAGTCGGATCTGCAAATGTCTGATCTGCAAGTGTCATATCTGCAAGTGTCGGTATCTGCAAATGTCGATCTGCAAAAGTCGTCTGCAAATGTCGGGTCTGCAAATGTCATATCTGCAAGTGTCGTATGACCCTCTTTTATCCTTTTAGATCGTTTAACCCCTGCCTAAGCGTTTTAAATGCTCTAGGTGAATCATCCTTACATAATTAAATAAACCAAAATTATTTCCCACATCCCTGGGAGAATTAAAACATGGACCAGAAAATATATGTAAAAATTGTTTCGTTTAAAGTTGCTATACAATGGTAGGGAGATCTTCTGGAAGGAATATTGTAATGTTGGAAACAAATGAAATTGGTAGGGTTTTAGATGTTTTTTTCATTTCAATCCCTGTTATTTTGAAAAGCAACTTGTTTGGAATATGAAATAGTAATTCACGAATTAATGCACACAATAGGTCTTTGGCATGAACAAATGCGTTATGATAGGGATGATTATATTAAAGTACATTGGGAAAATATTGGGCCTGGTAATTAAATAAATAAGAAAATTAAAAGAATATTCTTTAGCTTATCTCACACAATTCGAAAAAGTACCAGAAACAGACAGTACAACATATGGTGTTAGGTAAATAATTAATTTGTTAGTTTGTTAGAAAAAAAGACGTTTCTGGCTTTTATCTGTTAGGAATTAAAAATTATGAATTGTTTAGCTTTTTTCAGATACACAGAAATTGTAAATTAAACATAAAGAAATTTTAAAAAATTATTTAATTTTGGATCAGGGCTGCACGCAATTGAAAAAAAAAGATTCAGTGACATGCAATCCGCTACTCGCAATTTTTTTCTAAAAATCCGCACCCGCAACTCGCAATTGCAAAAACCCCCGCAATTTACGCAATCCGCAACCATAATTGTGTGCCGCCCTGTTTTGGATACTATGTAAAAATAGTTTCTAAAATAATTAAAGAATGGGTCTTGAATAATCAAAATATAATCAAATATCTCTAATCAAAGAATAATTTTATTTAAAAGAAATTCTAAATCTGTGATTATTTTTCTTTTAAGTTGGAATTCTATTATTAACATTTTTAAACTCAGAAAAATCAAAATAAAAAATTTTTTCTTCAAAATTATTTTTATCTACATAGATACGATTACCAAAGTGTTATGCATTATGCAAAGGATGCTTTTGCTTCCTCAACAGGGAAAATTACAATGGAAACATTGGATAGCCAATATCAGGCTTTTAAAAAATATTTTCTTATCAGAATATTTTTTTTCAATTTAAAGGACATAATTGGAAAAGTAAAGGATGCCGCACCTAGTGATTACCTCAAAATTTGCAATATTTATTCTTGCCAAACCTGTATGGGACGTCCATTCATTCCTGGACAGAATTACCCGGAAATAGGTCAGAGAGTACTTACTCTTGGCCCGTGGCCTGTGACTTTACCTACGGGCAGTCCTTCTCCAGCAACTCTGCCTTTGAGACCAACAACTACAACAATGACTACAACAACAATTAGAACCACGAGACCTAGAACAACTAGAAGAAGAACAACTACTACGTGTAAAATAAAGTTTAAATAAATTTTGTGTAAGAGGACATTGAGTCCCAAATGTTCTTGTTATCAGTTTCGTCCCATCTTAGAACATGGAAAATATTAGAAAGGAAAAATTAAAAACCCATCCAGAGTTTTAAAATTGGATAATTATGATATTGGGGAATAATTTTGAGTTTATTTAGCTCCTTTTAATGAATTTAACAAGGGAGGAAAAGCAGCTTGCTTTGCACCCTTCCCCCCTCTTTTTTCAAATTCCTCTATCGCCCAATTCTTCCAACCTTCCTTCTACTTCAATTTCGTTCATTTATAAATCAAAATTTAAAATAAAAATTTAATCTCCAAAAATTCTATAAATTAATTTAAAGGGACACCTCCACCAACATGCCCCCCACCACCACCACCCCCTCCACCTCCACCTCCTCCACAACCACCTTCAATTCCAATAGAAATTGAAAAAGAAGAGGAAAACAATAATAATGTAGGAGAACGTAGATGGCCTACACCTCAATTACCGATAATACTTCCTTTAATAAATAATAATTGGTGGTGGAAGAACACTCCAGCACCTCCTTTTCGATATCCTCCACTGTTGAGAAGACAAATGGATGTTGAGGAAGAAGATAATAAGTCGAGAGAAGAAGAAATGGATGAAAGTGAAGAGGATGATGAAGATGATGAGAAAATGGAAGAAAATAGAAGAGAAGAAGAGGAAGGAAGAAAAAATGAAGAAAGTTGGCTTGGAAGATGGGAAAGACAGTGGAATGAAAAAATTGAAGAGAAGGAAGGATTTGAGGAAGGGGAAGAAAATAATGAAGATAATTGGGAGAATAAAGAGGAATTATTTCAGTGTTTGGAAGATTCTATTACGTGTAAAAAATTATTTAAAAGAAATTTACAAGGAAATATTGGGAAAAATAAATTAAAAAAGATTTGTAGACTAAAAAGAGGGGTGATGAGAAGATGCTGTAATAAATGTAAAGAGAATAATGGAAGAATTAAAAGGAATAATTAAAAATAAATAATTTAAATATTGTTAAATTAGAAGTTTAAAAAATTTAATTTTGTTAATTTAAAAATGATTAAATCTATTAGATTTAAATTTAATAAAATTAGTAACTAGAGTTCGAAGTTTTCAATTTGCCGGGCCCCGTATCCGGTTATTTTCTTCCAATCCGACCCGGGCACATAGCCATTTAATAACTCCGAAAACGCGGAAACACCGAAAACCCGGTTTTTTGAAAAATTCTTAAAATTTAGCTTTTTTCTGAAATTTCCTTATCTAAATAGAAATTTATCAAAAATGTGATGTCATCCCTCAATACCTACACTCTAAATACTGAAGGATTTGAAGGGATATCGGAGTATCAAGGGATTTGAAAGGATTAAGTGGGTTATCGAGTGGTTTACCACCTATTTAGTATGTTCGTTTTCTATTTAATCTACGTAGATTAAAAATTTATTTAAAGACAAACTTTTATAGCCTAATAAAAAATTTAAAAATAAATTTAAAAATATTCTTTCATAAAATTATTTTCTTTTATTTTTTATGATTTTTCTTTCCTCATTTTTTTATTTTTAAAATAATTTTAAAAAAAATTTTATGACAAAAATTATTAAATTTATTTTATTATTTTTAATATTTCTTTTATTTATTGGTAAAAAGAATTTTAATTTAAAGAAAAATTTAATTTATATTTTTAGTTAAAATAAGCTCTTTTGATGGTAAAAAAGTAATTGAAGTTAATTTACGAATTTTTGGAAAAGTTTACAAACAAAAAAGAAAATGTAAAGAATTTTATTTAAAATATATAAATAATATTTAAAAATACACTAAAATCAACACACGACTTAGTATATTTCCAAAATTTTTCCTTGGTTGTTGTAAAGCACATAGCCATTTAATTCCTAAGGCTGTGCAGAAGGCGGCGTGGTATGATGGATCATTCTGGTCTACTGAAGCTTCCAGCCGCCGATTAACCTTTTGCATTAGCTTAAGGAGAAAAATAGTTATAGCCCAGCTGCTTTACTTTGTAAACAAAACTAAAGCCTATTTAATATAATCTTTAATTATACATATACTCCTCAATCAAGATTAATTATATCGAGATTCGACAGTAGATGATATAAAGTTATAACACTTTAGGATATAAAAATGTTTGGGGGGAATAGGAACAATTAGAGAAACCCGCAGAATCGTAACCTATTCTAGCAGGGATTCTGCCGACAAAAAACCAAAATTCCTGATTTCCCTGCTATCTAGCTCTTTTGTTTGATTCCCCATTTCATTTTAATTTTCTTAAAAAATCTGCTAGACTTCAATTGTGCCGGTACATTAATATCAAATCGTTATATACTAACTGCTGCACATTGCTTTTTTGATTTTGAATATGTCTGTAGAGATGAATATGAGTAAATAAATAAATACTAAATTTTAAATAAATAAATAATTAATTTTTAGAGGTTCAGTAGCTGAAAGTTTGGCTAAAAATAGAATTACATATGAAAATATAAATAAATTAATTTTGGAAAATATAATTGTGGAAATGGATGGAACCTGTCTTTTTAATGAATTGTAAACAAAAGAATTTTTAAATTAATTAAAAGGCTGCTCCCATTCTTTTATAAATTCGATTGTTTTCGATTACCCCAAATTTTCCGTTTATTTGTGCCTACCTAACAGATAAACATTTAAAAACTTAGATAGAAAACCATAAATATTTTTTCTCGCTACCAAAGTCTAACTTAACGATAAGAAGAATGAGTATATTTTTGAGTATATTTTAACTACTCTGTAATGGTAACTACAGAGAAACAATCAATTATTATAAGCTTTTCCTATTTATAATCTTAACAAATATAGATATCTAAATCCTTTTTTAATTTTAATCAAAAATATATTTAAATAATCAAGCGAAATTTCAGTTGTATTACCGAAAAATGTGTTTGTCAATCACCTTATAGAACAAGGGAAGTTGGAGTAAAAAGAGTATGTTTATATTAATTAAATAATTAAATATCTCTCTACTAAAGGTATTAATTCCAAATTTATTTGTCGATTCAAAATGTGATTCTGGGGATATTGCTTTACTTGAATTAATGGAGGAAGTAAATTATAGAAAAATACATTTAGCCCGTCCAACCACTCCTTTACCTTCAAATAAAATTTTATATGCTTCTGGGTATGGTTATGATCCAGAAAGGAAAATATTAATTGATATGGATGAATTGAAGACTGTTGAAGTTAATGTACTGGCAAAATGTCCAAAATATTTAGAAAGGGAGGATGACGCCATTTGTGCTGATGAAGTTGTTTTGGACCAAAATGTTTGTGAGGCAAGTTTATACATAACTTGGAGGGAGGGAGGAGGAGGGGGAGAGGATGCCTAAATGTATCCCCCCCTTAAAAGGTATTAACGAGTTATCTTACCTCAAGAGTGTATAAGGTCCGATTGCTATTAAATGATAGCCCTCCGAAATTTCAGGGGCACTTCACCTTTTTGTTAAATTTAAGGGAGACAGTGGCGCTTCTTTAAAAGACATAGGAAATGTTACGACTATTTTTGGTATATTTTTAAGTTTGGTTTTAAAAAATTAAAATCTTTTTTTGATTAAAGGCGTTGTGTCTTTTGGTTCTTTATGTGATGAAATGTTAAATGATGATCTGCGTTCTCTCCCATTTGAAGGTTTTAAATCCTGTTAAATAAAAAGAGGGAAAGTTTGGAGGGAAGAAACGCCTGGATATTTAATTTTTATGGGGGGTATTTTCTTGAGGGTTCTTATTATTCTTATTTGGTGCGTAAATCAGTGATTGGTGTATACCAGGGATCTAGCCAACATTAAAATTAAATTCACGATTTTCGGGAATCGGGTCGGCTCCCTGGTGTATACATAAATATACTGATAATGGCCCTTCTGTGAAAAAAAATAATGGAGTTCCTTCCTAAACTGAAAAATTTTTTCTTTTATGGTTCGAAGATTTTATGCTTTCCCCTCTATTAATTCCAACTTTAATTAAGTCACAATTATTTTTTTCTAAAATTATTTTTTAAAAGAAAGAAAATATAAAAATGCAGAAGTCTACACAAATATAACTTATTATTTACCTTTTATTTGTGGAATAATTGGTTTAAATGAATCTATTGGATGTTTAATTGAGGATATTAAAAGGGCTAAAAGACAGCCTTATTTTGAAATTAAAAGAAATGGGAAAATTAGTAAAAATGCACCTAAATTTGTTGCTGATATATTTTTTGGTTTGGATGATTTTTAAAAATAATTTAAATAGTTTTTTGATTTAAAAATAAAATTCGTATATTTTTAATTGTGAATTAGCATACATAATTTTTAAATACCAAAACACAAAAAAATAAGAATTTGAAAAATTATTGTTATGCATGTCTAGTGCAATACCGACTGAGCTACCAGTAGGGTTGTCAAAATGGACCATTCGGACCGAATGATCGAGTCGGGCCTAAAATATTTGGCCCAAAAGTGATCGTACAGGCCCGACTCGATAAAAACAAACCCGAATAAAAATGCCTCGACCATCGCTCGACTTGAGAACGGTGGTCTTTGTTACCAGTACAATGACTTTGATTTCTCTCCTATAGAAGTTCTAAAAAATTTACGGTTCCAAAAGCCAAACGATTTCGGAATATTTAACGGTTTAATTATTTTAGATTTAAAATCTAATTAAATATACCTAATTGATTATTTATCTTTAAATCAATCCAATCCTTAATCGATACAATAAATTATTTTAGCTAAAAAATCGGCCAAAAAAATCTAGTTTCTAAAAATATAATAAAAACAGCCCCACCTTTTCCTTCTTCCCTTGATCTCTCCAAATATTTGCAGGGCATACAAATAAATAAAAAAAACTTTTTTATGTTTTTATTCCATCCACGTAAATATAGGTATATACCTTTATTTTTTAATATTTATCTCCGCAGGAAATCGTCGAAGATATATTCTCTCTCTTTTTAAAAAAAATCCCGTTCATACTCCATTCTATTTTTCTTTACGCCTTGCGCAACTTAAACTAAATTTTTCTGTTTATTCCTGGAAATTAAGCGGTAAATCTCTTTTTCCGTTTGTTCTATCTAAATAAAATATCTGTTGATTTGTTTAAAAAATTAGTAGTCGATTGTTTACTTGGATATTCACAGCTTTTTCAACATACATACATAGTTGTACTAATTTTAAGTAATTAAACAAGGAATTAGTGATGCAAGAAGAATGCCTCAAAAATAATAACACAATTGAACAAAACAAACATCTAAGCCGGCAAAGGATGTTGCTAGACCGTTGTGATTCCCTTAAGAGAATGGCTATTGTTGCCACTAGGTATTTACTTTATATTTACAGAATACAATTGGATTACTCTTGGAAATCAAGCCTACTAATAAATATTTAGTAGATGCACCCTATTTAGGGAAATTCTTTAATTTTTTGCCAATGGTCTACAATATTGGATCTTTTTTAATTTCTTGATGGAAGGGTGTAATTATTAGGTTGGGAGTAAATACTTTATAGAGGGAAACTATTTCTGCATTCAATTGTATATTTGATTTAAAATAAATTTTTGCTAGCCTAGGAATGTATCTAAAATTGAGATTTAGCTGTAATATCTAATAAGAAAATCCTGCTCCAAAATTTAATTTTAAATCCAAAACCCAAGACAAATGTTAATTTTGTTTTATGAAAATATTAAAATATAAAGACATTTTTAAATTAAGCATTTCCGTTCTTTCTGCAATTTTTTGTGTTCTTAGTATACCATTCATCTATAATTACCTACAACATATCCAATCAGTAATCGAAAGTGAATCGGATTATTGCAAGGTGTGTTTAATTGTAGGAGTAATTAAAATAAATCTTTTCAAGTACCGGTCTAACAGTCTTTGGAAAGAATTAAGCAGAACATTGCAGCAAAAGCCCTTAATTAAAGATTCACATCAAAGTAAAAGGAAAACACGGCAAGGGTATTTTCCCGTCGAAGCAGCAACTTTTGGACCCTTGCCTCCAAATTCTTCAGAGGCATTATATGGGGCTCAATTAATTGGACAGAAATGTTTGAAAATTATTTTGGACAGTCGGACCTCGATATTATATATACCTTTTGGGGCCTAGTAAAATCATATATAGTTATGTGTAACTTAGAGGGCCCAGTGGCCATCCAAATGTTAAAAACTTTTATCAAATTGAGGTGTATATAGAAGTGAGGTCCGACTTCAATTTATTTAAATTTTCTTATCATTTATAGGTGGGTGTTCTTATGGTGCACATGGTGAGAGTATTGAACATTGAATCCTTTATATTTTATATATTTTAATTTTTATTTTATATATCTTACATATTTTCTTTATTAATTTTTCTCAGGTGAACCTGGAGATGCTGGACTGGACGGAAAGGTAAAACATGCCTAACTCTAATATAAATAGGTACAGTATCGTAGGATGGCGCAGATGGTCTCCCCGGAACAGATGGGCAACCAGGTCAAGAAGCTGTTGGTGGTGCTAAACATAGAGACTTCTGCATGGAATGCCCACCTGGTCAAATTGGCCCTAGAGGTCAACCTGGTGAAAAGGGCGAACCTGGAGAACCTGGTATATTTTAAAAAACTTTGAATAATTTTTGTACATTTTTTATTCTGTTAATCATGTTTGATTTAAAATTCAGACAATTTTTAATAAAAATTATCGCTTTATTAGGCCAGCCGGGAATTGATGCTGATGGAGGAATTCGAGGTCCAGCAGGCTTACCTGGTCCACCAGGGCCTCCGGTTATCTTTCAGTTCTTTATATTTAATATTGCGATATATTGATTTTAGGGAGCTCCAGGCATTCCAGGACGAAAAGGAGTGCCAGGTAATTCTAAAATTTTGTTGCTCGATTAATTTTGAGAAAAAAAATTTTTTCCTCAGACATTACAAACCTAAATATATTTTGTTCAGGAAAGCCAGGCTTACAGATAGAGCAACAAGGAACTACTGGACCAGCAGGGCCAGTTGGAGCTAAGGGTCCAGCTGGAGAAAAGGGAGCACCTGGAGTGCCAGGACATCCAGGGCAGCCTGGATCTAAAAAGCTTCCAGGTACATCAAATATTTTTAAAGAATATTTTAGAAAGATTAGAAACATTTTCTTTCTTTCCTTAGGTGATAGAGGACCGGTAGGCCCTCCAGGAAAAGTTGGAGAACGTGAGTTTTATTTAACTATCTACAATTTTTAATAATTAATTTTAATTTTTCTATAAATTTAAGCAGGCAAAAAAGGGCAACAGGGTGAACACGGATTGCCGGGAGGTTGCACTCATTGCCCTATTCCAAGAACTGCGCCTGGATATTAAATTTAATGAAGGAAGTTTTGACAAGTTTTTATCAACGAAATACGAATATATTTATTTTTATTAAGCTGTTTGATGTTTTTGTAATTTTTGTGGATATTTTTACATTCCGAAAACTATAATTTTATTTCCATGAATACCACGATTTGTAGCTGAATTAGATAAAAATAAAATTTATGGGTTTTTATTAGTACATTCTAGTTTGACTTAATTATACGAGTCTAGGTTTGTCATCTTCACTGAATTCTCTGTTTTACAGAAATCGAACCAAAAATCTTTGGTTTTTCAGGTCGCTTTGATACTGACAAGTATCTAATGATGGTCAGCTGCAAGAGTCACAAATGAAAGACTATAAATCTAAAATAAACTAAAAAAATTTTAAAAGTTGATAAGTTGGGACGAAAATCTTCAAAAGTCAAATTCGGACACATAATATAAATTTAAAACCCCCAATAATTACTAATAAATATTCTCGTTTAAAACTTGTTAAATAATTTTAAAAAATTTAAAAACAAAAGATAATTTTGGTTAAATTAATTTAGTAATTTTTTATTAAATTATTATCAAGAAAAGAGAAAAAACAGGTTTTTAAATTAAAGTTTGGCCAGTTTAGAAATTAAATATATATCTAAGTAGAGAGTAACTATTGTTAAATTTTTATTTAAAAAAACAAAATTAAAATTTCTATTGAAAATTAAAAAGTTTTTTATTCTCTCTAAATTTTGCTAAAAAAATTTAAAAAAAAACAATTAAAATGGTTTTAATTAATCTTTTTGAATTTAGCGAATTAGTAAATATTTATGTACGTTTAATAAATTCGATTGTTTCCCTTGTTAAACAATTTATCTAGAACAAAATACATTTATTTAATCTGTACATAAACTAATTCTTAATAAATAGTCCAAAGAAGTCCCCCCAATCGCCTCCCTATTTTTAATGGCAAAATTTACAACAATTCAAGGTTTAATACGAATGGACCTAAATTAATTGAAGTTCGTTATATATCGGGTGTCTTTTGATATATTGTTCCGGTTCCGTGTACTCCCGGTACCGGAACCAAAAAATCCAATTGCCAAACACTGATTAGGACATAAAAATAGAAAGAGGCTTACGAAGGGTTACTATGTCCGACGCTCACTATTAATAATTACCTAATTTGAAATTTCTATTTTAAAAATTGTCTTAATAATTATTATTTTAGACAATTAAAAGATTATGAAATTAAATTTTATGTTTCTAATATTTATTTTTATTTTTTTGTTTATGTCATATCCAACAAAAGCACATTTTGTAAGTTAAATTGATTTAATCTAAATTAATTAAATAAAGGGATGTAATTGTCAATATCCAAATAATCAGTATGTTCCTTGGTATTTATCTGGTAATGTTGAAAATAGATTGACATTTCTTGAACGACAAACAAATCAAAAAATAAATATGCTTATAGCTAGAATTGAAGCTTTGGAAAGGGAGGTAATTGAAATAAACAAATATATTTTTAAATTAATGTTAGGAGAAGAAGGGTTGTTAGCAGGATGGCCATTTTACCACCTTTGGGAGCATTTGCCCCTCTTTGACCCTCTCGCCCCCCCCCTTTTCTACATTTCTTACTTTTTGTCTCCTTTTTGAGAAGCTATGCCCTTTTGGCACATTGGAAATGGCCACCCTGCTGGTTGTTAGTTTTGAATCAGACCAAAAAACTAGATTTTTTGGATACATAAAGATATATTCCTTAAACTGATATCCCTTATTTGTTAGTTAGAAACAAAAAATGTGATTTCGTCTGTTAGTTTTATATTTTTACTTTGTAAAGAATCTGAGTCTAGATGTAGATAGAACAATTTAAATAAATAATTTCTACAAATTTTTTAATAAAGTTGGGACTCGTTTATAGAATTTCAATGCAAGAATGGAATAATTCTGGCGCAGGAAATATATACAAAATATTCAATACCTCAAAAACATGGGAAGAAGCAAAGGTATTTTAAAATTTTGAAAGAACGTTTTGTTCAGAAAAATGATTCTAAAATCAAATAATCCGGCCCAATAGACGCCTGTCTCTGAATAAAAGATATACTCTAGGCCAGATTCCTCGGGCCAGATTCAGTGAGGTGTTATCGAAATTTGATCGTCCCTGTTTATTACTGTAAAGCATATAGCTATTTAATTCCTAATGTGCAGTAGGTGGCGTGATGTAACGGCTAACACATCATTCCGGTTTACTGAAGATGCTGGTTCGCTTCCAGCCGTCGATTAACCTTTTGCACCGTGTCCGGACAAAATACCGAATCGTTAAAATATGGAATAGGCTAAAAAAGGGTTAAAATCTCGAATCGGGTAAAAATGGGTTAAAATCGCGAATAGGCTAAAAAGGGGTTAAAATATGGAATCGTTAAAATATGGAATGGTTAAAATCTCGAATAGGGTAAAAAGGGGTCAAAATGTGGAATCGTTAAAATATAGAATTGATAAAATGTCGACACGACCAAAATAGGTCAAAATGTCGAATTTTTTTTAAAAATGGCGCCAAAACCTAGAATCCGGGCGTTGCCGTAATACCGACGGTATTTTTAGGTATTCCGTTTCGCTAGTACGGTGCGGAATGCCGACCGATAAAATTTAAAAGCTGATCGGTATTTTTCGGTATTCTGTACCGTATACGGTACAGTTAAAAAATTCCGGGTTTTATTAGAAGCTAGGCACTCCACTCTAATTTGACGTATCAAGATCGCGTTATGTTTTCCGGATCCGCACGATCATTCCGGACCGGATCAGGTCGATTATGCTTGATTTATCCGGTCCGGTTTTACTCGGTAAAGTACAGTGAACTCAGACAGAAAAGATTACGACGGACTACGACTTACCAAACTTATCAATCAACTTATCAACAATAGGTTGATAAGCTGATAAAATTATCAATAATCAACGTACGGCACTCATCTGACCCTTTTTAAAAGAATTCGACATTTTGACCTCTTTTTAGCCTATTCGAGATTTTAAACATTCCATATTTTTACGATTCCATATTTTAACCCTTTTTTGCCCGATTCGATATTTTAACCATTCCATATTTTAACGATTCGGTATTTTAACCCCTTTTTAGCCTATTCGCGATTTTAACGATTCCATATTTTAACGATTCCATATTTTGTACCGGAGCCTTTTGCACTAGCTAAAGGAGAGAAATAGCTATAGCCAGCTAGTTTATTATACTCTAAAATATTCAGAATACTTGTATGACTTTCGGCGCAAGATTGGCTTCAATAGATTCTGACTACAAAAATGCTTTTGTCCGAAGTGAGAGAACTTTATTTGAAAATTAATTTAATTTCACAATTAAAGATATGATTGAACGTAGTTTTGGGAAAGATGAAAGTGCGGAGGTTTGGATTGGTTTAAAAACTAGAGCAGAATTAACAAACAATCCAAATTCACATTTTACTAATTTTGAAGAGGAAGAAAAAATTGATGGATGTGCTGTTATGGGAATAAAAGGAAAATGGAAAATTCGTTCTTGTAGTAATTTGAAACCCTTTGTTTGTGAACAGATTTTAATGTGAAAAATAAAAATTATTACCAAAATAAAAATGTTTAAATGATTATTTAATCAAACATTTAAAAGAGAAATTAAACACACATTTTAAGGGCTTTTCTTTGGAAGGATGAAAGGAATATGAAAAAAAGGGTTCCGTGACTTTTGCGCCGAGAACATTTGCGCCGCGACTTTTGCGCCGCGAATTTTGCGCCGCGACTTTTGCGCCGAGCGACTTTTGCGCCGGGGGACTTTTGCGCCGCGACTTTTGCGCCGGGCGACTTATGCGCCGCGACTTTTGCGCCGGGCGACTTTTGCGCCGCCACTATCATTAATAATTAAGAAAAACTACAGCCGGACCTCACTATAGAAGATGTAGAATAGTTGGAGATCTTCGGATATCAAGATCCAGATCCGATATCCAACCTAAGATTTTTCAGATTTTTTTTCATTTTTCAGCCTTTTTCAGATCCAGATATCTGGACAAGACAACCCTAGACTATAGTGCACCCTCTTCTAGCAGAACATCATGCCTGAATAGGGGTAGCAGACCAAATATCCTGATTTGCAAGTCAGGTTCTTTGAAGATGACCCCTCTAGGGGGTCGGTTTATTAGAGGAGGCTATTGAACTTCCCGAAATATTGTACTTCCTGAAATTACTTCAGCTCCTGGATAACATTTTTAAGGTGTACACTGGTCCGACTGTAGATATTATTTTTTTAAATTATGGCGGCGCAAAAGTCGCGGCGCATAAGTCGCCCGGCGCAAAAGTCGCGGCGCACAAGTCGCCCGGCGCATAAGTCGCGGCGCATAAGTCGCGGCGCAAAAGTCGCCCGGCGCAAAAGTCGCGGCGCAAAAGTCGCGGCGCAAATGTTCTCGGCGCAAAAGTCGTGATACCAAAAAAAGGAGGGGAAAAATTATTTAATATGTAAGGTTAGAATTAGAGTTTTACCGTAAGTTCCGGTTCCGGCCAAAATTTCGGTTCCGGTGAAACACTAGTTAGAATCCTTCGCACGATATTTGTCGGATTCTAGGCTTTCCAGTTTTCGTCGGTTTCTGTCCCAGATCGTTCAGTAATCTTGATGGCTCCACAGCTGGTTCCTGGAGCTAATTCCCAAACCAGAGAGACTACTGACTGAAGGGTCACTTAATGGAAAACTAATCTGAGTGGAAGACATTGTTACCCGAAACGAGTTATATAATTCTGTGAAGTTTTTTAAACCTTCATTTAAACTAGATCAGCTACTGACTTCTCAAATACAATATTAAAAAACCTTCTCAATAAACCATTTATTTAATACCAGCAAAAACAAAATTAGAATAAACAGGAGGAACGCATAGAGAGTAATGGGAACAATACATACACATTTGTCATGAACATATTCAAACAAAATATATCGAGTTTTATACAATTATAAGGGCATATATGTATTTATTTTAGTAATCCTTTTATATATTCTTTTCTTCCTTAGAGTTCATTCTCTTCTCCTGGAACATCGCTTCTCTTGACGAATATATTTTTGTCCAAATTGCCAAGCGTTTGATAGTCATCACCATCACCCACACCCTGTTGATTGTCCCGCTCGTCCTTCGGTTTCGGAGCCGCTAGAGGCGATGCCGGCGTTTCGTTTTTCGAATTTTTTACGAAGATGTTTCTGTCCAAATTGTCAAGCGTTTGATAGTCGGCTCCACCTCCAATTCCAGCATCGTGCTTTTCCTCCTTCAACACAGGCTGTTGACCGCCTGCTGGAGGTGTTGGACTGCCACCATCTTCAAAAAAAGGATTTTATTTAGAATTTTGATATTCTTTTTACCTTTACTCCCTCCTTTAATAAAGATGTTTTTGTCCAAATTGCCAAGCGTTTGGTAGTCGTCACCCGCGCCCATCCCTTTCTGGTCATGACTTTCATTCTTCAGTACAGGCTTTGTTTCCTCCTTTTTCTTTTTTGACTTTGTCTTTGACTCCTTCCCCTTCTCCTTGCTAGACTTTAGCTTGTTATCCTTGCTATTCTTTTGTACTGGCTTTTTGACAGTTTTGGGTTTGGGTTTTGACTTCGCATTGGCTTTGGGATCTTCTTGTTCTTCAGCTGGAATCTCTGGCTCCTCGACTTCAATTATTTGTTGTTGAATTATACGTCGCTAAAATTAAAAAGGGTTGTTAAAATTAAAAAAGTTGGCCACCTTGCGCTTCCTTCTACAGCAACAACAGCAATCAAGAAGAGACTGAACAGAGAGCAAAGAGAGAAGAAGGACAAACACAATCAAGTTCGCATTGCCAAACGACCAACTTAGCCATCCACCTTCGCTAGATAAGGACAACATGCCGGGCTCAGAAATTAGAACGCTTTTGTGAGATTTTAGAAGTGACATACTCCGAGGCGTACAATAAACGCTTTTATACAACATTTTTAATTACAAATTGCTGTACTTAAAAATAGCAAGGATAAATTGAGTGACCTTTGCGTGGATGACCTTTTAATAATTTTCCTTGTTTTATAGCCTCTGGCTATAAAATAATGAAAAAACAAAAATTAAATCAGCGCTGTTTGGCATTTTACTGTATGGTAGATTTTGGCATAACGTTTAAATTTCCTTTCTATGTCTGTTTTGTAATAACTGCACTATTTATTCTTTTTAAGGATTTTTTTTCGTGCCCGCTCAACTCATCTAATACTTAACTCATCCACACGCCCAAAAACGCTCAACTCATCTAAACGGCTAAAATTCCTTAACTCATCCACACGGCCAAAAACGCTCAACTCATCCAATCCTCAACTCATCTAATGCTTAACTCATCCATACGCCCAAAAACGCTCAACTCATCCAATCCTCAACTCATCTAATGCTTAACTCATCTACACGGCCAAAAACGCTCAACTCATCCAATCCTTTGGAACGAGACTATTGAGTACCAGTCGTTTGAGTCCCTGGCCGTTTGAGTCTGGCCGTCTGAGTCCATGACCAGTTGAGTCTCTGGCCGTCTGAGTCCATGACCAGTTGAGTCTCTGGCCGTCTGAGTCTCTGGCCGTCTGAGTCCATGACCAGTTGAGTCTCTGGCCGTTTGAGTCCATGACCAGTTGAGTCCCTGGCCGTTTGAGTCCATGACCAGTTGAGTCCCTGGCCGTTTGAGTCCATGACCAGTTGAGTCCCTGGCCGTTTGAGTCCATGACCAGTTGAGTCTCTAGCCGGTTAAGTCCCTGGTCAGTTGAGTCCCGGCCGTTTGAGTGGTTGATTACCGCCGGTTGAGTCTTGGGCCGGTTGAGACTCAACTGACCAGGGACTCACCCGGCTAGGGACTCAACCGGCCGATATTTCAAGGATTTGATGAGTTGAGCGTTTTTGGGGGTGTGGATGAGTTAAGCATTAGATGAGTTGAGGATTGGATGAGTTGAGCGTTTTTGGGCGTGTGGATGAGTTAAGCATTAGATGAGTTGAGGATTGGATGAGTTGAGCGTTTTTGGCCGTGTGGATGAGTTAAGTGTTAGATGAGTTAAGGATTGGATGAGTTGTAGGGTAGCCTTTTTTTTAATTTTTTGTTTTACAAATTACAATTTTAGATTTACAAATTTAGATTTATTTTGTTTTTTAAACTACAAAAATGGAAGAAGAAAATGGTTATGAAAATGGAAATGCTGAAAGACTTCAAATTAAGCAAGAAATTAAGGCTGAACTTTCCGAGGCTTTTATGGAAGAAAATGAAACTTTAGATCGTTCTAATGTCAAATATGAGATCGAGGAAAAAACATTTAAGGAAGATAGAGGTAAAGAAGAAAAGGTAAAAGAGACAAAAGATGAAAAAAGAGAAAAACATCGTGATGGCAAAAAGGACAAGGATCGGGAAAAGGATAAGGATCGAAAAAAGAGAAGTAAACGATCATCTCGTGATAGAAGCCGCTCTCGAGAACGTGAAAGGAAACGATCGTATGTTTTTAATTAAAATTTAGTTTTGGCCCTTCTGAAATTTTTGTGTTTAGATTCAAATGGAGGGATCTCCTAAAACTATTTATTTTACCCCTTTTTATTAATCATTTTTTTGCTTTCAGAAGAGAGCGAAAAAGGACCAGATCGCGTTCGCCACGCGATCGTGACAGAGACCGTGAACGTGATCGAGAACGTTACCGTCCTGAGCGTGAACGGACTCCTGAACGTGAAAGACGTCCACCACTTAAATACAAATATTGGGATGTCCCACCTTCTGGCTATGAACATATGTCACCAAAGGAATATAAGGAACTTCAAGGTATTTAAAAATAAAAATTTTTGGGTTAGTTAAAATTTCCCAAAGATTTCCTTTTAGTTTTGGCGTTGTCAATATGGTGTGTCAGCACACACAACGAATGGCGCAAACCCCAAACATGTTTTCGGTACCACAAGTTCAAAGGGCCGCGATCTTTTTTAAATTCTTTTTTCAGCATATTTTCTTTTTTTCAGCATTTTCAGCTTTTCTAGTTCAAATGAGATGAATTTATCAATTAAAATATTTTTTAGGGTTTTTAGGTTGCAAAAGTATCTCCAAGAGAAATTGGTCTTTTCTTCTCTTTCTTAGATTTTTTTAGCAAAATACAAAATTTGTTTGCGCGTTTCTAAGTTCAGCCATTTCGGCTTTTTTTAAGTTTCTTTTGCTTTTTTTAGCGACAGGAGTGATTCCCCGACAAACTGTGCAGTCAGCAGTGCCGGTTGTTGGTCCATCGGTGACTTGCCAAGCTAGGCGTCTTTATGTGGGTAATATACCTTTTGGTTCAAACGAGGATACAATGCTCGACTTTTTCAACCAACAAGTTTGTTTTTCACACTAGTCTCTTTTAGGGGCTATTCACTTTGGGCACCCTTTGTTATTTAATCTTTTTTCCTCGTGAGAGAGTTTTGAAGTATCTGGTCATAGACATTTAGTTTGATTTATTCCATTAGGCCTCGACTTTAGCGGTATATAGGAAATGGTTTAGGCTCTAAATGTCTGCTGGTCTTGGTCTAGTCCCAGCTTGACCTCTATATTTTTTATTTAAAATATTTTTAGATGCATTTGTGTGGCCTGGCTCAGGCCCCAGGAAATCCTGTAATTGCTTGTCAAATAAATTTGGACAAAAATTTTGCATTCATCGAATTCCGTTCTATCGACGAAACAACTGCTGGAATGGCATTTGACGGTGTCAATTTTATGGGCCAACAGCTTAAGATCCGTCGTCCACGTGATTATGTAGCACCAGCAAATAATTATGAAATGTTGGGATCTTTACCAGGTTTTTTATTTCAAAAATATTTTTGAATCTTTTTATTTTAGTCTCTGCTGTTGTCGTTGATAGCCCATACAAATTGTTTATTGGAGGTCTCCCAAATCATTTAACTTCTGACCAAGTAAAAGAATTGTTGAGTGCTTTTGGGCAATTAAAAGCTTTTAATTTGGTTATGGATTCGGTTACAGGATTTTCTAAGGGTTATGCATTTTGTGAATATTTGGATAGCACACTGACTGATCAAGTATTTTTTATTTTTGTTAAAATGAACTAATTAAATAAATTTTAGGCAATAGTTGGTCTAAATGGAATGCAATTGGGAGACAACCGTCTTTTAGTTCAACTTGCATCGACTGGGTGTAAAACAGTTGTTCCTACTCCTGGAATTCCATCAAATCCAATAGCTTTGGCTGGAATTGATCTTTCAAAAGGAGCTGGTCCTCCAACCGAGGTTTTGTGTTTAATGAATTTGGTTGTTGAGGAAGAATTGCAAAAAGATGATGAATATGAAGGTTTTTTTTTTAATTTTTTGATAAATTTATTTAAATATTTTAAGAAATTTTGGAGGACATTCGAGATGAATGTAACAAATATGGAAATGTTATTAGCTTAGAAATACCTCGTCCAGGATATGAAGAACGTGGCGTTGGAAAGGTATATTTGCTAATTAAATTTTTTGAAGTGTTCGTTGTGGTTATCCGTAGAGTGTGTTGACAGGCAAAGTTCCATTAGTGTTTTTATCACAACACGAAAATCACCTAGAGTCAGGCCCGTAGCCAGGATTTTTTTTCGGGGGGGGGGGGGGCCAAGGGGGGAAAATTTTCTCTGCGCCAAATTTTTGGCGCCGAAGGCGCCAAAAATTTTTACTTTCAGCGCCGCAGGCGAAAATTTTGAGAATTTTAGAAGGCCGAAAAAATTCACTTTTTCGGCGCCGCAGGCGCCAAAAATTTGATTTTCAGCGCCGCAGGTGAAAATTTTTTGAATTTTGGACCTCAAAGAGCCAGATTTCTTCCTTTTTTAGCGCCGCAGGCGAAAATTTTTTAAATTTCAGAGGCCGTAGGCCAAAAAAATTCACTTTTTTTGCCCCAGCCCTTCCCCAAATTTTTTCCTTTTTCCCATTTCGGGGGGGGGGGGGGGGGAATTCCCCCCCTCACCCCCCCTGGCTACGGGCCTGCCTAGAGTGTTTAAGTGTCAAACCATTTCTCTAAATGGTTTGGTACGGCGGATTAGGGTCAAAAGTGAGATACAAATAAAATTTTATTGTTTTTTAAAAACGTTAAAAAATTTGTTTTAAGGTCTTTGTTGAGTTCCAATCAAAAGAAGAATGTCAAAAGGCACAGGCAGCATTGACTGGACGCAAATTTTCCAATCGTGTTGTTGTAAGTTTATATAAATTTGTTATAAATTTTATTTTTCAAATTCAGGTGACCAGCTACTACGATCCGGATCTTTATCACAGACGACAATTTTGAAGAGGATTTGGGGTTTTAAAGTATATAACATTTTCATTAAACCTACCCATTTTAATGAATATACAAATTGCTATTTTGATTTAAATAATAAATGTTTTTTGGTTATTACAACTTTTAAATTACTCTAAAGTTTAGTCTTCTAGCTGAATTTTATCTTTTAAAAATGGTACAAAAAATAATATTTTAATTTAAATTATTTGTTGATCCAATTTGTTCATTGTCATCAGCTAGAGATCTAGGTGGTTTTACTTAAAAAATTTTCGATGAATATAATTAGTCGAATCTTACGTTTTTCTCTTTGTCCAACAAAAGGTCCAATTACACAGTTTTTCAACATGGACTTGTAATTAACCCATCTGTGAAGCTCATTAAATAATTCTGTTGCATCAGATCCAGCGGCTCTCATCAACTGTGGAATTCCTCCAGGATGAAATTCCAAATATCTAGTCACATCGTAGACCTTAAAAAACTGAATTAGGCAAATTTAAAAAAAGTTTAGGGGTTTTGACCGAAAATTCCTTTAGCAATATTTTAAATTATTTAGGTTACGAACCTTGAAACAGAAATACATTTCTAAATATAGTAAGTACTTGATTATGGGTCCAAAAAAGTTAGAATAGTTCTCACGTTAAAATGACTAATATTCTACTGATTCTTAAAATACCAAAAAAATCCTTTCAATTTTAAATTAAATTAGAATTCCGAACGAATTTGGTCATCCAAAAAAATAAAAAGTTGGCCCCAAAATATAGAATGACCTGAATACCGTGTCGAACAGAAGAATCCAGCAATCATGCTCTGAACAGTGTTTCGAAAGCTCAATATGATCGACAGACGCAATTAATGGGTGTGACGTCATACGACCCGCATTGGAAAGCCTTAAAAACACAGAAAATAAAAAAATAAAATTTCTAAACCTTATCCAATCCAAAAGTCCTCTTCCAGGCTTTAAAGGCACCTTTAATCGTCCTTTTTCTAATTTGACAATGTTTGACTAAAAAAAGATTTACAACAAAAATTGTATAAAAATTAATATTTACCTCTTTACTAGATCCAGGCTGTCCACCAGTTACATTCAACAAATTTTTATCCATTTTAAAAAGAAATTGATTTCAGTCTAATTGTAAGAAAATATTAATTTTTTGTTTTTCCAAGTAGTTATTTAGAAATATTTTTTGGAAATAACCCAAGACTCAACAAAACTAAATGAAAATAAAATGTTTTAAAAGTAGAGACCGGTGCGGGACGGGATCCCGCGCGGGGTTTTGCGGGATTCCGTCCCGCAATCCCGCACTTTTTACGATTTGCGGGATGCGGGATTTATCCCGCGGGATCCCGTCCCGCAAAGATTTTTTAAAAAAAATCCCGCATGAGGGATCCTGCAAACTCGATTTTACCGGTCTCTTTTAAAAGCTTTTTTTATGACTACTCAAAAAATATAAAAATAAAACAAAATCGTTAATCTCTCTATGTGAATTTATTTAATCGAAATTAGTATCAAGTAATTAGTGTCCGGGTCCGGAAACCGGATTTTGAATTTCTTCCGCTTGCCGGACAAAACTTTCTGGATTAATCAGGTCCCGTTTTACTTCGGTAAAATAGTTTCCAGACTTGGGCTGAATTTGTCCGGATTCCGGACCGAATCTAGATTTTTTCAAGGGTTTTTCAAAAAATTTTTTAAAAATATTTTCTGTGATAAAAATCTTTTAACAATTATGAAACTCTAATTTACAATTAATAATCTGTCAATAAATAATTAAAATACAAACAAAAATGAAAGACAATTTTAAAAATGAAAGCATTAAATTAATATATGAGATTCTTTTAATTTGATTTTTTAAGAGAATAAAGAAAGTTTTTTTCTTTTCATTCACAATTTAAGAATAAATTGAAGAGCAGAAAAATCAGCATTCCAAATGTGTGCCAATAATTGTGAAATACTTGAATTAATACATTTCTCATTTTTTGATTCAATTTGTGGACAAAGAGATTTTTGTGAAGCAATTCCAAAACAAGGAATTCCTCCAAGTGTAGGCCCGTAACATGTGCGCGTTCTGAATTTTGGATAATTAAAAAAATTATTTTTTAATTTGGGATAAAACGAATCTAGGATATTTAATACTAATATGTATTTTTGTTGGGTTAATAAGGATTTTGAAATTTTTTACACCTTGTGCGAATATTAAGTGTTCGTGCCAATTGTGCTTGTGCCAGTGCATTAATTAATGTTATGTTATTTTCTGCTGCTAATTCATCCTCGATTATGTCATCCCCCGTTTCTCCATATCTTCCAAAAAATTGTTGGATAGAATCATTCTTTTCTTCTATATCCAAATCATTTTTGGGGTCAAACCCAATACATCCACTCCATTCACAATTGGATGACCAATCACTCCATTCAGACCAACGGCCATTTATTGATGGCACTTTAGATTTATTTAATTTTTTGTGGAATTAATTAGGGAAATATTAGTTTATTTTAAGTAAAAATCTGAGAGGAAGAAGAACACTCCTAATTCAATTCAGGTTAAATAAAACCTTTTAAGAAATCTCTGCAAAATTTTGCTTCGATTTTAGGTGCTAATATGATTAGTTATTCTATTATAGTCACGCCTAAACATATTCTTCCCCTAACAATTTTAAATTCTTAAAATAATTTAATGTTAGAGTGCTAACTTTCACAAGCTCTCCCATTTCCACATTCCATACTTTGATGTGCTACACCCTCACAATAAAGCCTCTTTTCATTCTCCAATAAAATACATTGCCTATTTCTCCTGCGAAGGGCAAAACCACAACTTTCTGAACTACAATTTGACCAGGCTGTCCAAGAAGACCATTGTGGAATTAGTGAGGTGGAGGGTGAAAGTGAGTTGTTAGAAAGTGAGGTATTATTTAGTGCTGTGAGAATAAAAAATGTGCATAAAATTTATTTTACTCACATAGACCGCAAATTGTAGGCTCTGAACATGCTTGTAACTCGAAATCACTGCCTGAACAATTTCTACCACCATTTTTTGGTCTAGGATTTGAGCAATACCTTAAAAATAAAATCTAGCGGTCGAGAAACATTTAAAGAAAAGGTTAACTACATTTATTGAAGAAAAAAGTGGCAAGTCTATTCTTACAGGGATGTTAAGGGTGACGAGATTTAATTGAAGTAAATGACCCCCTACTATTTCGACTTTTTCAATTACCTAGTTCTAGAACGTTGTCCATTAATGCAGGGATTAGAACATTGTGACCATTTACTCCAAGCACTCCAATTTCCATCAATTTGGGGACCCTGACATTTTGCTTTGGGAGGATCACAAGGAGTTTGATCAAAAGAAAATCCAACACAATAGGCACCTCTAAAAATTGAAATAAAATTTCAAGAGAATTTTCCAAAAAATATATTCACCGGTTGGAAGGTAAAGGATTGGCACACATTCTGTTCCTGACACGATGACCTTTTTGGCCACAATCTTGGGAGCATTGAGACCATTCTGACCAAGATGACCATCCACCAACTATAGCAGCACACTGCATAGGGTCATCGTTATTTGAAAGTGTACATGGACGTTGCTCTATTATTGAACCGGGACAGAAACCCTAAAAAGGAAATTGAAAAGTATTTAGAATATTCTTTATAAAATTGCTCAGTTCTCTAAGGAAAGTTAGATGATAGAAGCTCTCCCGTTTGGAAAAAAGGAAGACTCTCACAGAGAACGGAAACCCTAGTTTTGAGTTATTTTTATTTTATTAACCTTAAGTTGTGGGTCATGTATTCTACAGAAACGCCGTCTGTAACTTGTTAAAGAGAAGCAAGAACAAGCAGACCAATCACTCCATTCTGACCAAATTGGATAGAGAATTTGTCTTTTTTGAAGGACTAAATCTTCCTCTTTAGTACATTCAGGAGGTTTAGGTTCACAATCTCTTTCTTCACGTGAAACATCCTCATCACAAAGGAATACTAAATTATGTTTACATTTGCGTGTTCTACTTTGACGTCCATTATATCCACAACTGACAGAACAAGCACTCCATTCACCCCAGTCAGTCCAATGACGATTTTCGAGAGGAGAGGCTTAAAAATTCTTTTAGAAAAAAATTTTTTCGAGAATTGAAAACTATGTTGAATACCTTACTAACTATAATGAATACCTTACCAATTACTAGATACACCTCAATTTAAGTTAAGTTTTCTAAAATTTGGTTGCTCATTGGGTGACAACAATTTAAGATACACATTAGGTATGTATATGATACAATCTTTCGGCCAAAAGATTTATCTCATAGTGAGATACGACCATATAATATACAAAATTCCATAGATGCTCTAGGCTTCTATGTCTATTTTAAAATCGTATACCCAATGCTTTGTTAACGCACAAAACCTCTTCTCTTTTAATTCTCCCTTACTTGTTTGAGAGAATCTTCTTTCAACTTTTTGATCATCGTCTAGTGTACCATTAATCAATCCTCCTTCACGAATACAGGAACGTTCGCAAGTATCAAATTCGATTGGGGCACCTTTAAAAACATTAAAGGAAAATATAAAATAATCTAGCAATAAATTACCATTACAAGCTTCATTCCCTAATTCTCTTTCACCCCAATCTTCATTTTCTTCAGTCTTTGCTACTTGAACAACACACTTTCTATGCCTTTGCCGTGTTTCAAAAACACTACAAGTTGAACAAAATGTCCAAGAAGACCAATTTGTCCACTATAAACGTTAATTTAAAAATTAAATTTTTTGTCTTGCCTGAGGGCACGGTCCAAGAACACAGCGTTTACTTTCAGTTAGAGGCTCTTTATTGGGGCAAATGCCGTTTAAACAGCGACGGTAGCGTTGTTGTAATCCTTGCCCACAAGAATGGGAACAGGCAGACCAAAGAGACCAATCACTCCAAACAGGAGCATTCAAAACACGAGAACAATCCTTTTTTGTTTTAAAATAAATATTTTTAGAATATAATTGAAGAGGACGAAAAATAATCTATCTACCTGTGCATGACATGTTCTAGCTTGTTTTCCCCCTCCAGGACAAGGTTTGTCCCCACACATACGTTCTCTAAATTGAAAACCAATTCCACAACTAACAGAACATGGATGCCACTAAAAGAAGGAAAAGTTTTAGAGAATCAAAAATTCCTTTCAATTACTTTTCCCCATTGTCCATCTACAGAAGCTTCTCCTCCTTTAAGTGGACAATCTAAACTTGTAATGCTGTTTATGTCGCTAATACAAGTTTCGTTCTGAAAAGATTCGCCAGCACATCCCATTGAGGAATTTCCTTTATAATCTATAATATAACGTAAATTAATTCAATCTAGGGGGAAATAAGGGGAAAGGGGGGAACATTATCACTCAAAGTCTACTCGAATATTAAAATTATTTTCATTCAATTTGATAAACCCTTTTAATAAAAATTAAGAAAAACACCTTCGACCGAACAATTTCTTTGCCTCATTCTTTGTCCTTGTTCTCCACATTTTTCAACTTTACAATCTCCCCATAGTCCCCACTCTTCCCAATGAGCACATTCTTTTTGTTTACACTTCTCTTCTTCATTTAAAGGCTCTATGCAATGGCCAGATTGACACTCGCGTGTTCTCCTTCGAATGCCGTTTTGTCCACATTCTGCAACCGAGCAGTTTGACCATTCTAAAAAAGATTTAATAAATGAAAAGTTAAGATGCCGTTATAGTCAATTATGGATGGTTTTCATATTAGTCAAATACGAATATCTGTATAATTGAGAATTGAGAGATTTCTTTGAACTGACAAATCTATTAGTTATCTCGTTCCTCTCTCACTATAAAAACCAAAAGGTTTGTGATTATTAATCACAATCTCCATTCATCAACTGACGTCACTCGCTCGCTTATCCGGACTTTTGCTTGCAGGTACTCTACTGCTGCTCGTTCTCTACAAAAACTTCTTAAATTTATAGGGATGGTTCTTGTCGCAATTAAAGTCAGAAGGATGGATGCGGAACAGGACAACGTGATCTCCATCGACGATCAGGCAAGTTAATTTCAATACTTTTCGACCAAAAAACATTCTTAGTTTTAGGCAACTATTGCAATGATGCGGAGCGCAATCCAGGAGCAGATGGCCATTCCGAGCGGCGAACAAAGGCTCATTCTTCGTGGAAGGGTTCTGAACGACGACACTCGGACAATCCAAGGCGCCGGCCTCAAAGATCACGATGTTCTACATGTGATACACCACGTGCCACAGCCCGTTGAAGCTTCGACAACAACACAACTAGATCGTCAACGACTTGCTGCAGCAAATAATGGATTCCAAGTGCGATTCCACATGCAAATAATTCCGGATCTGTCTGAACAAGCTGAAGGGCAGCAACAGCAGCAAAGAAGAATTGAAGTACGGCAACAGGGAACACATTCCCAGAGAAGGGGAAATGGGCAGCGGCGAGAGGAGACTCCTCCACAGAGAGAAGGAAGTAGTCAACAGACAGGAGCTGAACAACAGACGCAAGTGATTGAACGTCAGGGAACCGCAAATACGAGTACTGAAATAATTTCTGAAGCATTGGCCGCGATGTTAGTTGGGACAATATTCCGTTCCTTGAGTAAGAAAACCTCTGAGAAAGATAATTTTTTAAATTTATTTATTTTCAGTAACAATCCTACAGCGCCTTAATGAGGAAGAAGAACCATCCACAGCCAGAGAGATTGGAACGACGACTAGCGCTACTCAACTGGAAACCTCTGCTGGGACATCTAACGAATCGGTTGCCTCTTCAGGAACTTCTAATGGAACGGGAACTTCTACGATAACTTCTAACGAATCAGTAAACTCTTCGGGAAACTCCAACGCAACCGGGACCTCTGCGGGAACTTCTAATGTATCGGTTACTTCTGTGGGAACATCCAACGAATCGGTTGCTTCTAACAACAGAGAAGGAATTTAATCTGAAGTGCAAAAAAAGAATGAAGCAAAGGATGATAAATGTGTAGACTCATAGATAAACATTTCTGTATAATATTTGACCTAATCAAGTTTATTGTAAATATCCTTGTTGTATTATAAAATTTTCACTTTTCTTCTTGTCTTTAGGAATTTAGAGGTTTTTAGGGGATTTAGAGGCAAAAAAATTTAAATTTTCCCACCTGACCAGTCGGAGTAAGATGGCTCAGGTTTACAAATGGGGGGAGATGGGTTGCATGAACGAACTTCGAGTGATTTTCCTATACATTCCTTTAAATATTTTTATTAAAAATTATTGTCCAAAATTCGTCTTTTACCGTTTGTGTTGGGGATCGACATTTTCTACTCCGTTCTTGAACACCGTTATTATTCTCAGAAATTCTACATGTCAAAGAACAAATAGACCATTGTCCCCATTGCTCCCATTTAACTGATTCCCTTTTGCGTTCAACCGTTTTGTGTTCATTCGATGATAATCTAAGAAGTGATTCTTCATCAGGGCAATCTTCAGCGCCTTGAACAAGTCCATGGCCATCACAATTTAACTACAAAATTTTTTTACTAAAATTATTTATCAAAAACTACTTGAAGGCAAACACCACCAACACAGTGCTGGCCAGGACCGCAGGGAGAGCCATTTGGGAATTGTCCTTTATTTCGTATCAATTCAGAATCCCGAACATGACACCAAATTTTACATGGCTGTGTTGCATCTTAAAAATGAGGGAAGAATTTTTTGTCCTGAAAGATTGAAAGAATGTTTCCTTGAAAAGGGTTAACTCTTTCAAAAAGCACTGAAAACCTACGCAAAAAGCTAGTTCCGCTAAGTTGTCTGTCAGCTCTTATTTGGTCATGTGCTATAGCTGTACAAAGCCTGTCCCCATATTCTTGCCTAGTAAAGCCTTCACAAATTGTCGATTTGGCAATTCCTCCACAAACAATGCCTCTCACATTAGAGCCTGTACAAGGCTTCCCTCCATTGTTTGGACTACATTTTAGGAAGAATAAAATTCATTTTAAAAACAAAATTCCCTACGCAGGTGCTGTACAAGTTCTCATTTGACTAATTATTGCGATACTTCCAGTAATCTGACATTGAGTAATAGGGCACTGCTTTTCGGAAGAAGTCCATTCTGACCAATTTCCATCAGTTACAACAGGATAGGCTCCCATTTCTGAATGCCACTCTCCACAATGACCAGCATGACACCACTGGGAATTTAAAAATAAGTTTTATCAAGTTTTATTCCCCCTAACTTTTTCATTTCCACACCAACTGCCTTCAAGTGCGGGGTGAGCAGTAGAAATAGTAGAACCACTATTTCCGCACCAAAGAATTCGGCAAATATCCTTTTAAAGGAAGGACTGATTAAAACAAATAATTTTTTAATACTTCGAATGAACGCCCATTAGGTATTTCGACTTGAAAGTCACGACCCCAAAAGTAAGAACATTGCTGATCTGCAGTAAAACGTTGACCAGGAAGACGGCCATCACGTAAGTGATCATGACCTTTTTAAAATATTAATGGAATGATTATTCTTTTTTCTTAAAATTTAAAATTTCTTAGACTAATTAATTTTAACACTACGCTCTTTTCTCAAAATTAAACTGTAATGTGGCAATATGTACGATTTTACTTATAGTGGCGATTAGGCAAACTTTTCTTATTGACAAACTGTTAAATTTCCTTTATAAATTCCCTTTTTTCCCCTCTTCTTTTCATATTAATAAGAGAAGAAGAATTTGCTAGTCAGTACAGAAGGAGAGAAAAAAAGAACAGGCAGTTAAGTGTGTTACTTTCTCTTTTCAATGTAGTGGGTGCTTCCCGTTGAAGTAAATGAAAAATTTATATATTTTTAATTCTCTTATTTCCTTCATCTTTGGGACTGTACTTCTCAGGATCATTTCTGTAGTACGTATTCCTTTGCGGAGACGCAAACTGCTTCACAAAGCACCCTCGATGACGAGTTTAGGCGTTGTTCCCTGAGCGTGAAGCTTGTTGGGACGTTGCCAAAATTTTGGATGCCCTGACGTTGAAGACCGTCAGCTGGCCCTTTTGGGTCGGCTATGGGGGCAACGCTCTCTGAGCGGGTGCAAATAAAGGTTTAACCTTGCTTTTTCTTATTTTATAAGTAAAAGTTAAAATGCATACTTGCAATAGATTCGGAGGAATCTCTAAGACAATTTCCTCTGCCACTTTCACTTAAATAATTAAATGTAAATAGGCTAGTTTTTATATATTTTACTCCATCTGCAACAAAAACGCATTAAATTCGCGAACTGAACAACTAAAAATTTTGATTAATGTATTTTAAATTAATTTATATTACCTGCTCCATGTTGTTTTTCCAGCACCATTAACTGCTGACATTAAGCAGCAACTACGTCCACACTGATTTTGAACTCCGTCGTGTACCATACCCATACTAAATAAAATTTTTTTTGGAAGTTACATTGTATATTTTTTTGCCATAAATAAAATTAATTTGTTGGGGTTTTAATTGGCTAAAAACACCGATTTAGAAAAATTTTAAAAATCTAAAGCGACTGACAAGTTTTGTGGCCAACTCTACTGGGAATTAAGTTTACTATACAGTCAGACTTCATCTATAAATAACCCTTGAGGCTGAAAAAAATCGTATCGAAAATTGGAGTTGTATGAGAACCGATTGACTATGTATAAAAAGTGATTTAGAAGAAAACACATACTTATGGCCCATTTCATGTGCTAAAACAAAAGAACGTCCCAAATGTAATCCTTCTACCAAAGAACAAGCTGAAAATAAATAAATTCTACTTCTCAAAATTTACTTATATTTACCAAATAATTCATCACACATCCTTCCAACAGGGGCCACACCAGCAACACTTGATGTTGTATGATAAATATCATATCCAGTAAGTAAAACAGCGTGATCCCAATGTTCGGGATGTGTTAAATCTGTCCCTGGATTGATTCTTGCTTGGTGACGACAAAAAGAATCCAACTAGAAAATTGTTTAGTAAAACCTCTATATTGTGTACTATTTTTTCTTATCGGCTAATTCATTAAATATTAGGTATATAGAGATGTATATTATGGAGGGTCAACAACAGAGGTGGGTCGGAACAGTCAGAGGTGTCGGAAATCGGAAGAGCCAGAATTCGGAACTGGTCCAAAAGTCGGAACTCGGAAATCAAATTTTTTTCGGAAATTAGAAATGGGAAGGAAAAAACGTCTGGAATCGGAATTCCGACCCACGTCTGGTCCACAATAAGTGTCTGAAATATATTTAAAAATAAGATTTACCAGTGTTTGTGCTTGTCCGTTTTTATGAATTTCTGTTGCCAAAGGTGCCTAATCAAAAAAAATTTTTTTTTTGAATTACATAAATGTATTCACTTATAGATACATGAATAATTGAATTAAGGTGAATAAAGTGTATTAATTATTGGGAACTTTTTCTGAATTATTTAGGTAATCTCCTTCCCTTCCAACCAATTGTTTTTCAGATTTTAAAAAACTAATTTTAAATTGAGTATATTTTAGGTGGGGCCTGATTGTACTACATAATTTAGTTGAAAAAACAAACAAACAGGTTGTGTTTTCCACATTTCAAATCTAACAATAACAATATCCAAATTAGGGGAAAGGCTGGGTTGTTGATAAAGAACGTGGACCTTTTTTTAAATAAATTTAAAAAATATTTAATTTAATTTTTAAATTTACATTATTAATTAAAGCTAAAGAGAAATCTGTTAAATGTTGTTCAGGTTCTGTTGTAAATTCTTTTTTAAAATGTTCAAAAAGCATTGAATCTAAGAAAAGACCAATTTCCTTTAAAAGAATTTTTTGAAAATTTTCTTAAAAAGAAAAACCAAAGTAATTGGGTCAAGTTGAGGAAAAATAAAAAGAGAATCAAGTCTTGCGGCTACAGGTAATGTGTAATTGTTGATTGTTGTTTTAACTTTAAAATAATTGGGAAAATAAGAAAATAAAATATTTTAAGCAGCAAATAAAGCAAAGCAAATTTAAAAATTTTTTTGATCGAAAAATTTTTTGTTGAAAATTTCTCTTATCAGGAGGAAGGTATATTCTTGATTGATATCTCAAAAGTAAATATTTCTAAACATTTTAGTTTAGGGGTGGATGGCAGATCGGAATATCCAAAAAATGTAAATGGACTAATAGCCATAAAAAATCACGTATATGCTCGAATAATTACACTGGGTAATTATTGTTTTGTAAGGATGATTCACCTTGAGCATTTAAAACGGTTAGGCGGGGATTAAACGATTAAAAGGATAAAAGAGAAAGCATTAGTCATCGCTCCAGTAGCTCAGTGGTGAAGCTACTATAAGCGGTGAGCTCCCGCTAAAGGGGATAATTAAACGGAAGCAATTACAAGAGAGGGTAATTATTCTAAGATATACGTTATGAGTCAGTGTTAAAATTATAACTTAAAGTAAAGTGTTTGGCAAAACTAGAAACATTTCTTTCTATTTAACGAATATTTTTTAAACAAATTTCCAGCACCTGTTTTAGTTAATTCAGAAAAACGAGGAAGAAAATAATTATTTTCTGGAAGCATTAGAAGATTATTTTTAGAAGAAGCTAAAGCAATATTTTCAAAATTTGAAGAAGAAATAATGTCAGAAGTTGGAGAAGGGTCATCAGCAGCTTTAAATAATAACTCACTATTTTTTATATCAACATCACAAAAAGATTCTTCTTCTTTTATTATTGTTTGTTGTTGTTGGTCAATTTCTTCTTCTTTTGCTTCTTTCTTTAAAAGAAAATTTGAAAAAAATTTAAAAGGCTAGAAAATGTTAGCCTTTTTTGGCTATAACTTTTAAAATATAAGACTAAAAATTCTGAAATTTTTAGAGAGGATAGAAAAGATTATTGTGATTGTCTGTATGAAATTTGAAAATTTAAGGTTTTGTAAGTATTAAATTATCATTAATCAACCAAAAGTTTTCCTATACTAAAATATTATTAAATATTTTTTCTACTAACCAAACTTCTTGTTTTTCTTTTCCAATCATTTTTAGTAAATTCTGTTTTGGTTAATTTCTCTTTAAGATAAAAAGATGGTTGAAAATGTTCATTAAAATTAATTAAAGCTGGATTTCTTTTGAAAATTAAATAATGAGGTTTTCCCTGAAAAAAGGAAGGAAGTTAATTTTAAATATTAAAATAAAAAATTTTTTAATTTCTAAAGTATTTTTTAAAAATTTTTATTGGTTTTTAAAGATTTCCAACTCATTTTGACATCCCTAGATTTAAATTACAACTTATTTTAATTAAATATAAATTAATTATTAATTAAAATTTCTTTTTTCCCTATAAAAAATCATTTTTCTAGCCTCTTTTTCATTTTTCCTTTTAACTCGTTCTGGCAAAGTTTGTAAAACAAGAAAATTCTCTTCGTGAATTATAAGCCCCATTAATCTATTACAATCAGAAATAGCAGCTTTTATATTTCCGTGAGTTAAAACAATTCCGTGAAAATGGCAATTAGTTTTTATATGTGAGGGAAATCCATATTGTTGTTTTGAATCAAAAACAGAAATCTGTGAAAAAAATTTGAAAATTTTAATTTGTGTATTTTTGGGGGTTAATAAAGTATATAGTATGGATTAATCTACACTTCTTTAATAAATATTTCTAAAGCCTGAGATGTCTTGGAGCTTAGGATGATTAAAGTCTATTTAATAACTCAAAAAAGATGTCTGGTAGAAAGGGTGTATTAAATAGGCCTGACTAAACAAGCTAGATTTAAAGATTATCTTGGGTAGCTCCCATCAACCATTGGTTAACCAAATCTTGAAAAACAAATCTTAAGTTGAGGAGTCTTTAATTTTAGGGATATCTAAGAAATAAATAGAATGTATTTCATTAAATAGCCCAAAAAATCACTCAAATATCATTTTCAAAAATACCCACCAAATGTTATTTGTTTAATAATAATATTTTAAATTATTTATTCAAATTTACTATTTACTCACCATATGAGGACTAATTAATTTATTAGGTATTAATTGAATTAAATAAGAAGAATTAAATGCTTTAAAGTGTAAATGCCTCAAATTATTATTTTTATTTTCAATTCTTTTAAAAAAATCGAGTAAATGGTAATCTGGCACATGTTCGTGTTTACTCACTCCAAAAGTTTGTTGCAATTCAGAAATACTCATTTCACGGTGAATTGCCTGGAAATTTTTTAATATTATACTGTATATTATTTGAGAGAGATTTAATACATATCTTTATTTAACTAAAAAAAGACTTTTGGAACCTAAGGACTTATAACTTTTGTCAAAAGAAAAATTGAAGGGATATTTTGTTCGAATAAAAAATTCAGGTTTTAATGTTAATTTATCAAGTCGAAAAATTTTAATTTTTTGGTATAAGGGTTCTAAAATAATTTATTAACAAAAACCCAAACTTTTTTTGAAATTTTATAGAAAAAAGACAAAAAAATATTTTATAAAAAATGTGTTATTTGTGGGCACTCTCCCAAAAATTCCTAATGTCCAAACAATCCCACACGTTTTAATTTTATTTTTAAAATATACACATTTTCTTACATTTGTAAATAAAATTTGTAAAAATAAAGTTAATTTAATAAGAAAAAGTGAAAGGCGTTGTTGCTTCATTGCAATCACGCCAAACAATAAAAATAATTTTTGTTGGAATTAAATTTGTTGTAAATTAAATGAAAATTTAATCCGATTATTAATTGCATTTTTCTAGAAAAAATATTTTTTTATCATTTTTCAACAGTGGATTTGATGTATTTATGGATTAAAAAACTAATTATACAATCATATAAAGGATATGGAATTTCTAGAATTAGTAGCCGTTCTCAGTTTAAAAATGTTCAACCTCCCTTCCCTTCACCCTTCCCAAAGCGAGTGCCTGAGGTGTCCGTGAGACTTCGGGATGAAATTTGGTAGACAGGTAGCCCCCAGGCTACCCCAGGCACTCTGATTTGTTAGTATTTTCTCCCTCGTTAAATTAGCCTTAATTATGTAATTAATTTTGTCTCTCTCCCTAAATATCTCCCCAATAATTTGCAAATTTTCAGTTAATTTCCATAAACATTCAATGGAAATTTTAATTTTAAATTTAAAATTTTAAAATCAAAAAACAATTACTCAACAATTCTTTCCCTTAATTTTATTAATTCTTTAATTAAATTCCCTTCTAATCCTTTTACAATAAAATTAGAAATAATCTTTAATATGATCAATGGACAAAAAAAGAAATGATTGCGTGTTTGTTAAAGCATTGTGTTTTTGTTTTTTTTGGTTTTTATCCGCCATCAAAAAAATTATTTTTTTTAGAAAAAGGAACGCCCGTTATCGCGCAACCACAAAAGGGGGGGGGGGGGAAGAAAGATTATTTTAGCTTCTTTTTTAGTTAAATAGCTAATGGTTCGATTAAAAAACCCCCAAAACCAGTTATTTAATATTTTTATTTAACCAAAAAAATTATTTTTCTTTATCTTCCCAGGTTTGCGCAAGCAAAAGAAGATTTTTTATTCCAAAGATTTTTGTAGAAATTGGTGAAGATTTTTGGGGAAATAAATAGCCTTGGCAAGAAAAGGAAGTGTCATTTTTCATAGAAAATTATTAAAAAATAATCAGGATTTTTTAAAAGAAAAATAAAATGAGAGAGAAATAAAATAAATATTTGTCCCAAAGATTGGTGAAATTTCGAGAAAATTAAAGAAAATAAAATTAAAAACTTGGAGGACTGAGGAGATCTTTGAAAATACTGGAAAATGAGATGACTAGGCTTTGATTAACTAATTCTCTGAATAGACACTGTTCGTTATAAACGACTTTTATTTTATTACCAGTCGCTTATATTGAGATTTCAATTTGTTATTTAAGTTTATAAATTAAAAGGGAAGGGAAAAATAAATAAAGGCTACTATATAAAAATTATTTAGTTTTGATATCCAAAATTTATTTAACTTGTTGATTCTGAGGTTCTTTTTTGGAGGCTAATTCCCCAAAAAATAAATCAATGTTAAAAGGATCTAAAAAAAGGATTTTTGTTTTAATGACATTTAAAAACTAAAAAAAAAATTTTTTGATGAACATAAAAGAATGGAAGGGGGAGGGGGGAAGGGGATATTTTGTGAATATTTGTGGAGACTGTTCAAAGATTGGACGGCGATGGACATTTCAAGTATAAATAGACACATACTTAAGCCGAAAATATAAGTGGATATATTTGGTTAGAAATTAAAAATAAATAGTAAAAGGAATGAAAATAAATAAGAATTAATTCACGTTTTTATTTGTATAAAAATAAATCCAGGCCGAAAAGTGGAGAAAAAGAATAATGAAAAAAGTTGCTATTTTTAATGGAAGAAAGAAGGGAGGGGGAAGGAGTAGATAACAAATAAAAGAAAATATTAGTAAATGGATATCTAAATATAAATTGAAAATTTAGTGAAGCTGAAATTAAAGTTAATTTGAAATAGGCGGATTCTCTCTCGGACAGGTGGACTGCCAACTGGACATTTGCCATGCAAATTTTGTAAATAAATTGTAAAATGTTTAGAAAAATTAAAATAATTTTTAATTAGGGATGTGGCCATTTTTACTATCAATTTTTTGTTAAATATGAATTTCTGGTAGTTTTTATTCAAATTTTTTCCAAAAATAATGTTAATAATTAAATATTTAAATGAGAGAAATTGGCAGTAATTAAAAATTAGATTTAGTTATACTCTATAAATGATTATTATTTATTTTTTATTTACGTCAAAATGACGTACAAGGTCAAAAAAATAAATTAACTAAATAATAATACTAGAATATGAGTCATTATTAAATATGTACAGGGTGACCCAAAAGAAACCGGGCACGCTATTTTTGGCATAACTTTATTTAAATTAAAGATAATGAGATCAAATAAAGATGAAATTATAGAGAATTAAATGGAGAATAAGATATAAAAATCTTTTAGAATTATTCCTATTCTACTTTGAGATAAGGTTAAAGGAAAGTGAGAAAAATTATTGCTCCAGGTCGCACCTTTTTTTGAGGCATTTTGCCTATAACATTAGAACAGATTGGAGGAAAACACACACACATATTTGATTGCGCGTAACCCTCCCAAAATGAGAAAATCGCATTCCCCCCAAAACTGATTTACATCTACTCAGAGCCATCCATGTAGGAGTTTGGATTTTCATCTTTCAGATTTGTCCGGTTCGCTAATGATCTGAATTAAATTCTGCTGAGATCATCCCGTTTGGACTTCTCCTTTCTGAGATACAGAAAATAAAATTTTGGGGGGAAAATTTTTATATGGTGTACCTAAAATTACGTAACTTTCTTGATCCTTAATCAAAAAATCTATAATTTTACAATATGATAGAGAAATGAATGAGCTACAAAATAAACTTGGAATTATCTAAAAATGATATGAACAAAAAAAGTTATAAAGGATATAAAAGTGCCCGGTTTCTTTTGGGTCACCCTGTATATGGATAAGGAAAAATATTTAAGAAATGGGGGGGGGGGGGGGGGAGTTTTAATTGTTTATGAGTAGGGTTATCGGTTTCAACCCGAACCGAAAAACCGAAGATTTCCGGTTATGTTTGTGGTTCGGTTTCGGTTAACCGAAGGATTTGGTGAAACCGATAACCCTATTTATAAGTAATATTGTTGGGAAAAAAATAAAATTAAAATGTTAAATATTTTTAATAATAAATTTTTTAAAAAATCTCAAAAAAAAATCCGGATTTTTGGCAATAGTAAATAAATAAATCCAGATTTTATTTTTTAAAATAAACTTGAAAAAGGAAAAAAAGTTTTTAGCAAAGCTAAATTTGAAAACAATAAATAATCGTCTGCCGATTTGCAAATAATTTTCCTATCCAGTCAAGCGAATATAAAAATAACGATTCACTTTCGCCGGTTATTTGCATTTGAATTGGAGGGAAGGCGTGAAAGTGAAACTGACCAGCAGGGAATTAAAAATAAATAAAAATATTTATTTTTATATCCACACGCTAAAAATGAAAGAGAAAAGAAGATTTTTGTTTTATTTTTAAAAAAATTCTTGTGGTGAAAGAATGGAGGGGAAAATTAAAAAATAATAATTCTTCTCCAGGGTCATCTGTCAGTTAAGGGAATGGAGGAGGGGGGGGGGGGGGGAGGGAGTTATTACAAATAAAAATACCGCTTTTGGCGTCAACCGGTCAGTATTGGCTAATTTTTTTGTTAAAAAAGGGAAAGGAAAAAAATAAATTAAAAAGGAGGAAAATAATTTAATTAAAAATAATAATTAAAAATTAATTTTTAAAAATTCTTTGTTGATTACCGGTAAATGGTGGCTAAAAAATATTTGAAATTAATTAATATAAATTTAACAGACAATATTCCAGACAACTAATTTAACATGTATTTTATCATTATATGTATGTATATTAGAATATTTTCCAGTCTTTAAGGGGGAAAAGTTATGAAAAAATATAACATATTTAAAAATTCTTTCATTTAAAACCCTTCTTGGCATAAAAAACAAAAAAACAAAATCAGAAATTCCTTCCCAAAACTTTCTCATTTTCTCCTCATTCATCCAATTTTACAAAATTAATTATCCATTTTTTAAATCAAACAAAAAATAAAATTATCCAATAAATTATTCAAAAAATTAATCTCTTCCAATAAAATATTCAGAAAAATAAAAGCTTTCCCTTTTTGTTAAGAATTTATATAAAAATAAATAAAAGGTGAGAGCGATCGTGCGGAATGAAAACTGAACGGGGGAGGATTTTATTTATTTTTTTATAAAAAATACAAAAAAAGAAATGCTTTAAATCCCTTTTAATTTCTTCTCCGATTTTTTGTAAAGTTAATTTTCATTATTTAATTCTCCAATAAATAAATTTTTATTATTTTTTAATTACGCTTTTTTTGTTTCTCCTGTTTTATATAAAATTTAATAAAATGTTAAAAAAGGATTTTTTGAATTGAGGAGAATAATATTTAGATTTAAAAAATGGATTATTGAACAGTTAGTTTTATTTTTGAAAAAATCAAAAGCTTTAACTTGCAAAAATTTTAAAAAAAGAAAAATTTTAAGAGCCTATTATAAACATGAAATTATACTATAGAGATTAAACAATAAAAAACAATAAATTCAAAGACTAAACTGATATACATATATCCTGTATGTAGATTTAACCTAACATGAATTACGATCCATATTTGATAAACAAATGTTAAATAAGCTGTAGACCATTCAAACCCTAAGTTTTTGGTTTCCCACCGTCAGTACCGAAAATTAATTTATTCGAACCATAATATGTATAACCAATTACAAAAATTTATTTTTAAAAAAGGCTAAAGGACACAAAGTTAATTCTTCAAATGAAAACAGAGAGTTTTAATTGTTAAATAGTCAAATTTGAATTAAACAAATACATAAAAAAATTTTTAAGTAAACATACCATCAAAAATTAAAATAATTTGTAAATATCATTAGAAATATCATAAAAGAGTATATTTATTTAAATGTTAAGTCATCACAATTTTCAAAAAAAATTCTTTAAGTATTTTCTTCAATATTTAAATAATTAGCTGGCACAAAGCCTTGAGCAGAGTCTCGTAAACGTTTAACTAGCCACCATTGTGTATTGCCGGCAAAATCATGACGACGAATTACTTCTACCTGTTAAATTGTTTAAAAAAAGTTTATTGACAGAAAATCTTAAGATTATTCCAAATTAAATGTCAAAGGAGAACAAATATGAATTCCGATATTTTTTTTGAGATTTGAAAAGTTCCTCAAGGAGGGAATTATGAATAGGGTTGCCGTTTTCGATTCGAGCCGACGTTCGGTACATTTTTTCAAGCTTGGTTTTTTTCGATTCGGTTCGTTTTCGAGGTTTTGAGCCGTGGCTCACACGATCTTTCGAGTTTCGGGTCGAGCGAGCTGGCAACCCTAATTAAGACCCATGAATGCTAATTTAATTTTGCTATTATTTTTTTTCTATTATTTTTTTAAGTTTGTATTGGTAGAAGAAATATTTTTGAAGGAAAATTTTATTTAAAGTTTTAATTAAAAACAATATTTTAATTATTTATTCACCGTTTCCCCTCTTTTAACAGAAATTTGGCGGCTTTCATTTCCAACAGATGGTTCGAAATCAAATAAACAAATCGCAAAGTTGTCATTATGTGGAAGAATATTTTGATTATTTGATTGAGAAAAATCTGTTGAAGGAGGAGGAATAGAATAATATTGAGTAGAAATAATTGAATTAGTTGGTGAATTTTGTTGACTATCAGAATTATTATTGGGCGTTCTACCTCTCTAAAATATTTTTAAAAAATATTTTATGAATATTTCTTTTCATTAAATTACCTTTTTCTGAGTTGGGGGAGGTGGAGCAATACGATTTGGTTGAATATTTATATTAAAGTCTGCTTCTGGATTTGTATAAGAATCAAAGAAGGTAACAGGGGTTTGTTGATTAGAAGAAGAATCAAAAGTTGTAGAAAATTGTGTTTTGTTGTGAGAACTAAAAATTAAAAAAATTTTTTTGATAGAAAATAAAAGTGAAGAGGAGGGAAAATTAAGAAAAAAGCCGAGATTAGAGGAGAATTAGAAGAATAAATGAAAGAATCAACAATACTTTAATGAAGGTAGCGACTGTTCACAAGAAAGAAAATCAAAAAGTTCGCTTAAATTATTTTGACAAAATTGTTCATTTTGGATATTGTGATTAATGGATTGTTGTTCAAAAGTTTTGCTTTTATTCTGTCCTGATAGATCTATAATTGTTGGTTCTTTTGAAGTAGGCACTTTAGGCGGTGAATCAAAATCAATTAGATTATCCTCCAAATCTAAAAGAATTTTTTTTTAAAAACAAATTTATACACTATCTAATTAGTTTACCAATTAAATCTTTTTCTCCATTTAAATTAGATTTTTGAGTTTTATTTAATTGTTGCTTTGGTGGATATGAAATATTTGAGGAACTAGACTGAGAATCCGAAAAATCTGTTTTAAGTAAATCAATCCAAGAAGCTTGTTGTTTTTGTTGCTGGGCTAAAAATTTAAAAATAATTTCTAATTTTTCTCAAAATTATCGGCAAAAACTAACAAGGAAATTCTTTTAATTCCTCTTTTGGTTTATTAATTTTTTGTTGTATTTCCTCTTCAATTAATGCATGATTTGTAGACTCATTGCACATATTTAAAGGTATAAGGACATCTACAGGCACTAATCCATTTGAGACTGCATTATCACACAAACTTAAATGATTTTTTTGATTAAAAAATTCTATTTTAAACAGCTAATTAAATTTATATCAGAGGGAACGAAATAAATAACCAAATTTAGGAACCTATAGCTGTGAATGGCAGTTGGGTAATGTTATAAAGAGAATAATGGCACGACATTAAAAAATCCAAAAATCCTTATATTTCACCCGATTAAAAATTAATTTCATTAAAATTCCCCTCTAATTCAAAACCTCGTGATAAGTAATCAAAATAGGTAAAACTAATTAAATTTATTTAAAATAACTAACCAAAATCCATCCTGTCGATGTTCTTTAACCAAAACTAAGTCCCCCTGTTTCAAAACCATTTCTGAATTTTGCCAATCACGAGTAACTTTCCGTAATTGTCCAGATTGGTTTTGGGTATGACAAATCTTGAAAAGTGCGTCTCTCTCTTTTTCACTTTGTTGTCGTAAACGGGAATTTAAGGAAGAAATTTGTTGTTGTTGTGATGATGATATTTTCTTTTGATTTGCTGATTTTGCACGAAATGAAAGACGTAAAGATTTTCCTAAAAATTAAAATTATTCCGTAGATATTAAAATCTCAAAAAAATTTCACTTCTAGCCAAGAAAGGTGCATTTTCTGCAATTGTTTGACGTTGATATAAATATGCTGCAATTTTGTCCATTTCTAACAAAACATTTTTGACAGAAACAGACAAATTTGTAATAAATGGAGGGACTGTATGAGCATAATGACGAACTTTTTCAGGTCTTTCTTTGTAATACCACTCATCCATTTGAGTTAAAAATTGTTGATGAATTTCATTTACTTTTTGAACTAGTTGGAGTACTTGAGTATTTATTGTACTTATAACACTTGGAAGTTGTCCTTTTATTTGATTATTTAAAGCTTCGAATTCATTTCTGCATTTTTCAACTTCATCTTGCTTAAATTTATTAAAAATTAATTTTTAAAAAATTAAAAAGAAAAATCAGCCTAAATGGACAAGATTTTTGGTTAATTAAGATAACCTTTGGATAGACTAAAGAACAAACCAAATTTAGCAAAAATACAAAAATGCAGAAAAATTTGCAACCCCAAAAAAATTTTTTATATGAAAAAATATAACAAACTTACATTTTTATTGCTAGCTTTAACCACTTCAAAATCAGCCAATTTATCAAAACGTTTGTGTATTAATTTGGTTAGTTCACTTCTCACAAGTCTCTTTCCTTCAACCAAAATTCTAAAAAAATAAATTTAATATCCACTGAGACTATTCGAAAAATATTTACTTTTGATCAAAATCCCTCAAATATTTTCCACAAATTTCATCAACCCTGCGAAGCATTTTTGCAAATTCTTTAACAACTTTTTCATCTTGAACTTGACAAAAACCTTTTTAAAAATAATTTTTTACAGTTAAATTAATAGAACCTTTATAACTGTCTTCATGTTTACGTGCAGCCAAAGCAATATGTTTTCTATAAAGTTGAGCACAATAAAGAAATTTACAAAGTCGACGTTCAGCGTCTTCTAAAAGTTGAACTAAATAATCGAATTCACTATCTCGAATAGTTCCAAAACCCATTGTTCGATTTATTCGATATTTGAGCCGATTACTTTTCTTTAATAATGAATGCATGTTTATACGAGCGAGTCGTTCAGAAATGGTAAGTTGTTCTTGAGTATTGTATTTTCGAACTAAAAAATAATGTTAATTTATTAAAACAACAGTACTCTTAAGAAAACAATTTTAAGAAAATAGACACCGAAAGCAGGTCTTCCGCAACAGCGGAATACGGACAAATTGCATTATTTTTTGCATGTGCGGATTGCGAGCTTCAAAATTGAAATGCGGTTACGTACAAAATTTTTGATTACAGGAGCCTAATTGAAAGACATGAATGTGGGATTGCACCACAAAAAGAAAAAAATGAAACAAAGGATCTCTGTTCATACTAAACAAAAAATAATTTACCTAATTCTTTCCTTCTTTTAGATTCATTCATTCTAGAAGCCAAATCCCCCAATTGTCTCAAAGCCTCCATCAACTTTGGATGATCCGGATGATTTATTGGAGTATTTTTTAATAATTCCCCAATATAAAGAGGATATTTTAAGCATCTTTGAATTGGTCTAGAAATAGCTGTAGAAACATCAAAAATATTTGAACCACGTTCTCTCATTTGTTGAACGCATAATTGAAGTGCTCGATTAAAATTAGAATTATTTTCATTTTCTATCATTAAATTAATATTTTCAACACTTCTGAAATGCTTAGAAAATGTTGAGTAAAATTGGCTTTTTAATTCCATAAATTTTGAGCCCAAAGACTGAACATCGGCAGGTAAATCTAAAATAAATTGAAAGTAAAATAAATTTGAAATTTATTATTTATTTCATAATTTTAGGTATCTGACATGTGGAGGATAACAGAATTCCGATGCTATTTAATATTTTGAATTACCGAAAATACAAAAATTGCCAATATATGGGATAAAATGTAATTAAATTAGAAATAATAACCTTTCTGCGATGTTAAGGCACTAATAATTGATTGACAAAGTTTTTCAAGTGCTGGATATTCCTTTGTCAAAGCCTCTTTTTCAGATTTTGTTAAATTGCCAGATTCATTAACACACTAAATTAAAAATAAATTAAGACAATTAAAATTTCCTTACATTTTGCCATGTTTGTAAGTCAAAAAGATAAATCTGTTCAGTATTTAGAAAATCCAAAAGAACTTTTGATTTTGTGTCAGATCCATTAATTGTCTCCAATTGAGGAATAAGTGGATTTGTGAAGGCATTGCCTGCTGGATTTATTAAACTTTGATATTGCTGTTCATCTTCTTTTATGGAAGTAAGTGATTTCCTTCGATCATTTTGAATAAATCGAGAATTTAAGTTTGATACTTCATTTGCGCTTTCAGCAAAGGATGTTTGTCTAAAAATATAAAAGGGTTATGTAAGTTTGAAATAATAAATAGGACCAGAAGCCTTTCCTTTAAAAGAATTTTCCCTAAACGTGCAATCTCAAGCCAATAAAATTTTGGGGAAGGATATAAACAAGCCTAATAAATATTGAGGCCTAGTTTGTTTAAAAATTAAAAAAAAATTAAATTACCGAAGTATGGGATTAGGAGGTGGTGGTCTAGGCGGCGGCAGACTAAAAACATTATTAAACACGTTAGAATTGTTTATAGAAACATTTGAAGTCTCCCAAGGATTTGGCCAATCAGAAACATTCGAAGAAGCAAAATTGGACATAGAAGAGATTGATGTAGAGGAATTTGATGGAGGTTGGTCATAAAAAGTAATTGAATTAAAAGAATTTTCTTCATTTTTTGATGAAATTTGAGACATTTCTTTCGGACTCTCTAAGCCATCAAGGAAAATATGTAAAAAAGATTGAGGAACAATTCCAGACTGACCAGTAGTCGGATCTCTAAAAATTTATTAAAAAAGTCAATTCCGCCCTTTCTATTTCTTCCTAATTTGACGGGCAAAACAAAAATACTTATATGGCATGTTTTTGAAGGTAATTATCAAAGATAAATAAATTTTAAAACCTCTTTGGTTTAGTGGTCATAGACGAAAAAAAAATTAAGAAAGGGGAATAAAATGACAAGAGGAATATAAAGTTAAAAATATCAAAAAAATTAAAACTGACCGACACTTTGCCCATTCATTATCTATAATTGAGGAAACTTGAATACTGTCTCCAGCTTTAACAGATAATTCGTCCTCAAACCTGCCTTCAAAATCATAGAGAACAGTAGCAACACTAGAAAATTTTAAAAAATTAGTAAAAGTTCCGGCTAAACTACAGTTTCCGTACCAGGCTCAGAATTGGACGATTTATATGTCATTCGAAAGAGCTCGTCGAGCTGAGTCGAATGGCACCAAAATTTTTCAGCGGAAAAAATTCTGAGCCGAGTTACAGACCCCTAAATTTCAAAAAACCATAGGGGTTTTTTGAAAAATTTGAATTTGGGGGTGAAAAATTCGAATATGCAAATTATACCTCATTCGAAAAAGCTCATCGAGCTGAGTCGAATGACACCAAAATCAATGAAATCAGACGTCATTTGAAAAAGTTATGATCGTTTGTTTTTACCCTTTCCACAAGGTTTTCGCGGAAAAAAGTTTTTGCCGCTGCGGAGGAAGCCGGGCATGTCGAGCGGAACGACGGCCGCCGCTTCGCTACGGTCGCCGCGAGCGCAGCGAGCACGACCGCAGCGAAGCACGGCCATCGTGTAGCGAAGACCATGCCCGGCCTACCCTCCGTAGCAGCACAAAAACAGTTTTTCCAGCGAAGATTCTGTTGGTCATAACTTTCTTCAAAATCATCCAATCGAGCTGATTTTGGTGTCATTCAACTCAGCTCGTCGAGCTCTTTCGAATGAAGTATCATTTGTATTATCGAATTTTTGACCCCAAAAATCAGCTTGGTCCCCCATATGGTTTTTCGATTTTCGGGGGCCTGTAACTCGGCTCAGAATTTTTTCCGCTGAAAAATTTTGGTGTCATTCGATTCAGCTCGACGAGCTCTTTCGAATGACATATAAATCGTCCAATTCTGAGCCTGGTACGGAAACTGTAGTTAGGCCAAAGTTCCTAACATACCCAATTGAATTAGAAAAACCTTCGGAAGATAAAATAGGGTCAGATTGACTTGGCGGAAATTTTGATATCTAAAAAATATTACAAAAATAGTAAAATAAATTTTTAAACAGAAACCTCTTGTTCATTAAGAATTATTTCAACGAAACTAATTGGAAAAATTCCTTTCTGTCCAGATTTTTGTGATTCTCCACTTAACCATTCCTCGTTAATTTTCTTATCAATATAAATAAGTTCATTTGCAGTAAAGTTCAATTCACCAGGATATTCACTTCTGAAAAAGGATAACTGGAAATTTTATAAAATTTGGAATAGTAAATTTAACCTGAAGTCATATAGAGCTTTGCAATAAGGCCGGTCTTTACTCATTCTTGAAAATAAATAAAGATTAAAATAAAATAATAGAAAAATGAAAATAAAATTTTGAACAAAAGAACAGCTGAGCTGTCTTGACCAAATAAAATTCGACAAAATGATATAAATTATAACATAGTTATACGAAATGTCAACATAAAAAATGCAACAACAATTGAATTGCGGGTACGGCCCACCTTGTCGCGGGCCACCTTGTCGCGACCACCTTGTCGCGACCACTTTGTCGCAGGCCACCTTGTCGCAGGCCCACCTTGTCGCAGGCCACTTTGTCGCAAGGGTCATTTTTTAGTTCGCTAAAAACCGAAACCAAAACTGCGCAAAACTAACTAGGAGTGATGGGATCTCTTCCTCCTTGCATCTTCACACGATTTCCATCTTTTTTTTTGCTCTTTCGGCTTCCGAATTTTTAAAAGTGGGTGTTCATCAAAATTTATTAAATGGAAATATTATAACAAAAATTCAATAATCAGACTATTAAAGTGAAATGATTCATGACCAGACAGAAAAGTAAAATTCAAAATAAAAATAAAAAATTGTTAATTAATCTTGAAATTGTGTGAGATTCCTCGTAAGTATTCAACGACAGTGCCATTTCCTCTCTCATCACAACGCCAAAATATTAGATGTCCATCCGCGCTATCTCTGTCCTTCACGTAACAGTAGCCGTTGTGATTATATTTTTCGTGATTTCTATTGGAGAGCATATTGAAACTTAAAAAAACATTAGCAAACAAATAACATAATGAAACAAAATACTGAATTGAATTTTGAAGTTATAGGTTATTGAATTGTTTGGTTATTGAATTGGTTATTGATTGGTTATTGATTGGTTATTGATTATTGAATTGGTTATTGAATTGAAGAAAATTTAAGTTGAAGAAAATTGAAAACTAAAAAGAAATTTTAAAAATTAAAAAAACAAGAAAAATAAGTACTGCGACAAAGTGGCCTGCGACAAGGTGGGCCTGCGACAAGGTGGCCTGCGACAAGGTGGTCGCGACAAGGTGGTCGCGACAAGGTGGCCCGCGACAAGGAGGGCGTGTCCCTTGAATTGCGACAATTGTCGCGACAAAATGTAAAACTTCATATAGAAATCGGGAAATTTTTGGGCTTTATCTTATTTTAAATCCATTCGACCTGGCTTGAGTTTGTGCCTTGAGTCCATAAAACTCAAAAAAATCCCAACTTTGTGTGCATAAGAATCCCAGCCTTTTCCCGTTTACCCGTAATTAAAGATAAATTTTCATTCTTTTTCAGCTATATTATTCAAATTTTTTCTTACATATGGAAGAAGAATTTATTGATAGTGCTTCTGATAACCAAGCACCACTTCTCGAAATTGGTGACCAACCTTCTAGAGATTTTCTCGAATTATTTGCAAAATTGGATCCAACAATAAATGGAGAAATAATTGAAAAAGCTTGGAAACAATATGATACAATTAGTCAACAAATTATTTTAGAGGTTTTTTTTAAAATAATTTCATTAAAAAAAATAATTTTCAGGGAAGTTCTTCTGTTTGGATGGCTTGTGCTTTTTTTACTTCTGTTTGGAAATCTACTCCAATTGGCCATCAAGAATTAATTTGTCATTATTCTTTGCTTAAACTGATTGAATTATGTAAAGTCAGTGTTCTCGATTTTTTTGATAAATTAAATAAATGGGCTGATATGATATTGGCTACTCGACGTTTACTTGATTTTGTTAATCGTGTTCAATCGAATTTGGCTGTTTCCGCTGTTATTTTCAAAAAGTTTTTGCCAATCTTTCGTTATGCTTTTGCACAACAGAAGCCTTCGAGTTTGGAAAAACATTTAACGAGTGCAGAATTATTTGAATTTATTTGGCTTTTCTTTATTACTATGCGAAGTTTGTTTATTTTAGATTTTTTTGGTTTAGGAATTTTTCAATTAGAAATTTAATGATTTTGGTGTCATTCGACTCAGCTTGTCGAGCTCTTTCAAATGAGCTATAATATGGCTAAAAAATTTTTAATTCCAAAAATCACCCCTTTGGATTAACAGTTTTCAGAAGCCTATATCTCGGTCCAATCAAGTCGGATTTCGTTGATTTTGGTGTCAATCGACTCAGCTCGACGAGCTCTTTCGAATGAGCTATTATTTGCATATTCGAATTTTTCACTCCAAAAAAGTGCTTGGTCCCCCATATGGTTTTTCGTTTTTTAAGTACCTATATCTCGGCTCGTAGGAATTTCCGCAAAAAAAGAATGGTACCATTCGACTCAGCTCGCCGAGACGAATCGAATGGTATATATTTTGACCCGTTTCTGAGTGGGCCACCGGCTAAAGTATATCCAATAACCAGGCCCGTAGCCAGGATTTTTTTTCGGGGGGGGGGGGGGGGGGGAAGGGGGGAAAATTTTTTCTGCGCCAAATTTTTGGCGCCGAAGGCGCCAAAAATTTTTACTTTCAGCGCCGCAGGCGAAAATTTTGAGAATTTTAAAAGGCCGTAGGCCGAAAAAATTCACTTTTTCGGCGCCGCAGGCGAAAATTTTTTGAATTTTGGACCTCAAGAAGCCAGATTTCGTCCTTTTTTAGCGCCGCAGGCGAAAATTTTTTAAATTTCAGAGGCCGTAGGCCAAAAAAATTCACTTTTTTGCCCCAGCCCTTCCCCAAATTTTTTCCTTTTTCCCATTTCGGGGGGGGGGGGGGGGGGGGGGAATTCCCCCCCTCACCCCCCCCCCTGGCTACGGGCCTGCCAATAACCGGACAGACCATCTTTTTTTCTTCCCAATTTTTCCCCTTTATTTTTCTAAAATGGTTAGATTTTTCCTTTCTTCCATCCAATTTGCCTTTTTAATTTTTGCCTACAATCAAACAAAACGGGTTATTTAATTTTATAGAGAATTATTTGAGTACATGCCAAAGGCAAGTAAAAGGATGAAAAATATAGGGGAAAAATTGGGGAGGAATAAAGGATGTCTGACCGGTTTAATATGACCCTCAAATTTTAACTGATTTTTTTAGAACATTTACCACACAACAATGAAGACCTGATGAATTCTTATAATTTATTACTTTGTATTGTTGATTATATTTACCATGCAATTTCAATTTCTCGATTAAAGAATCATTTAAATGCTGATTTTGGTATTTAATTCATTAAAGAAAATTTTTTTTTAATTTTTTCTAGACAAATCTAAAGCTCCACTTGAAGTTCTTTGTGAAAAGTTTGAAGGTGCTTCTCTTGATACAAAACATTTAAGCACTCATTGGCTTAATCCAAAATTATTAAAACTTGTGGTTGAAAATTTAATTCCTTTCGATATTGTTGAGGACAAATTTAATAATTTTACTGCTATAAGGTTGATTTATTTTTATTATTTTTTATCTTTTTTTCGTTGAAGAAAAGCTTTGGAACAACTTTATGAAAGGAAAATGTCTGCACGTTCTGAAGTTGATGAGCGGATATTCTTGAAGCCCTTATTGACTTTTGGAGATATTATTTTCTCAGATAAATTTGAAGGTTTGTTTGAGAATTATCATTTTTATTTTAAAGTTTCCCCTAGATTTTTTAAGAGAATTCAATCTTTATCATTTATTTAGAGTTCAGTCGGAATTCAAAAAACATTTAAAAATATCTCTTAAAATTTTTTCTTTAGAAGATGCCATTTCTGTTTTGTCTGGAGATCTTTGCCAATATATCAATAATGATTTTTTGATCAAATTCAGCTCACAAAATTGTTTAGCCAAATTGAATGCGCCTGAAAAAATTCAACCTCCAACTGAAGGGAAATCTTATATGATTACACCTGATGTATTTGTTTTATTTTCATAAAGTTCTTTTAAATTTTATTTAGACTGTTTGTCAAAATAGTGCATTTTATTCTGATATGAAGCTAATTGAGAGGATGGATGAATTATTATCAATATTTAGAAGTCAAGGAAAATCTTTTAATTTTGATTTTGTTGACTGTCAAGGAAATCCACGTGAATATATAGCTGAACAAGGTTTTGTTTGAATATATTGCTAGATTAATTATAGACGGGGGTTCCGTAATTTTAGATGGGGTTTCCGTTAAGAAATTGGAATCTGTTAATTTTTTAATTTCTCTATCACTTCCAAATTATTATTTTTACAAATTTTTTATCAAACTGATGTTCTAAGGATGTTTTTGCATTTTCATTTAAGGGAAACTTTTTTAATTTTCTCCAAAAAAAGCCTGAATTTCTTATTCCACGATTTTCTCTTTAAAAATCACTTTTTAAGTACACATATTTGGACAGAAATTTCTTGCAAAATTCAGTAAGGAAGAGAAGGAAAGCAATGAAAGTGGATCTTCAGATCATGCTTTGAATCAAATTCAATTGGAAAAATATGCTGCCGATGTATTTTATTAAATTAAATTTATTTTTTTATTTATTTTAGATTGAAACATTATTTTATTACCTTCTTCAAAAAATCTTAATTTATGATCAACAAAAAGCTTTGGCTATGGGGTTAGAAATGAATGTTGATTTAACGGTTATTTTCTTTACAAGTTTTGTTTAAAAAATTATTTTTAAGGCAATATTACAAAGTTCAGAATTTCTTGTTTCAATTTATATTTGTGCTGCAGATTTAATTCTTTGGGTTAATGAAGACTTTCGAACATTTCGATGGATAACAGAAATATTTACTGATAATGTTGCTCCTCTTGAATTTTATCGAATTTTTGAATTAATTGTTAGGGCAGATACTTCTTTTAGTCGAGAAATGGTTAAACATTTAAATCAGGTTAATTATTTAATTTTGTTCAATAGTAAAGCTATAAAATATTTATTTGTGAAAGGGACATTTTGTTGCTTGAAATTTTTCCTTCTTTTCCCTCCGATTTATTGTTAATATTTTTGCTTTGATTGACTTGATGATCCTTTGTCATTTTTAAGTTTATCTTTTCATGGTGAAATTATGAATTTAGCGATCCACCCCTTAAACGGACCAGAGTTTAAAATATCTAAAAAATTTATAGTTTTCTTCCAATTTTATTTTTCTAATTAAAAAATTATTAAGTTAGAGGAATGTGTTTTGGAAGAACTTGTTTGGACAACAGATTCGCCTTTATGGATTGCTTTACAGAATAGTCGAATTGTTGAACAATTTGGAGAAAGTTCATCAGTTCCAAGCTCTCAAATACTTTCTAAATTTACCGGAAATTTACAACGAAATAAATCTGATTTAACTCCACAAATTATTAATTTTTTTAAAAAGGTTATTTTATTTACATAAACTTTTTCCTATGGGGATCTCAATTGGTCAAGATTTTTCTTCTCTAAAAATTTAAAAATATCTAGTCATTTTTCAGAATCTAATTTTACATAGCCTAATAATTTTCATTTTTTAAAGGTTTACCATTTGTCTGCAATTCGGCTAACAGATTTGTTTGAACGTTTACGTATTAGTGATGAATTAACTAAACGAAAAATTTGGACACTTTTTGAGCATGTTTTTCGTACAAAAATTATTTTATTAAAAGATCGACATTTGGACCAAATATTGATGTGTTGTGTTTATATTATAACAAAAGTGTGTGCTCTCAAAATAACATTTCAGGATATAATGTAAATTAAAATTTGTAAAATTAAATTCAAAAAAAATTTATTTTTAAAGATTTCATTATCGCCATCAACCACAAGCTTCGAGTAATGTTTATCGAAATGTACTTATGCGAATGGATTTTATTGACAAAAAAGAAGATAATTCTCCTGAACAAACTGAACGTGAGGATTTGATTAGGTGAATTAAAGAAATTTTTATTCCTCTTTAAAAATTAAAAAGATTGGGCGTGAATTTTTGTTTGACAAAGTCATAATTTTAGACAAAAATTAAAGTAACTTGTTCATGAAAATTAAAAACCGATAATTTCGGAAGCTGGGTTATTTTCTAAAAAATTTCTCTCAAAGTATTATTTAACGTAAATCGGAAAACTTGCCAAAATGGGTAGCGGTTAGTAACCGCATCAAACATTGCCCAACTCTATTTTTTTATTTTTTCTATTTTTAACATAAAATTCTTTTTTAAATCCAAATGTTAGATTCCGTGTCATTAATTAATCTTTCTCCCCTTCTCCTACCAAAATCGAACTTCCCTTACCTATTTCTTTAACACTAAATATATTTTCTAATCTTTTAAAGGTTTTACAATAAAATATTTGTCCCAATTGTTGAGGATTATGTTAAGAAATTATATCCATCTGGGCCAGAAAGCAAAGAAGTAAAAATAAATATTTAATTAAATTTTTAATTAAAAAATTTTTTTAGAATGTTTTCCCATTAATTTCAATGCCAAAAACTCTAGTAAATCCTCTATCACCAAGAAAAGTTATTGGAGACAGAATTAACGTTATTCCTTTATCTCAATACTCTCAAACAATTGCTAGACATCGTTCAACAAGAAGATTTGATATTTACAAGTCCCCTTCGAAGGTTTGGATATTTTTTAAAAAAATAAATTTATTTACATTTTTAGGATTTGAGAACAATTAATGCAATGGTAAATAGAGGATTGCCTACATATGGAGGGCAGAAATTAGTCTATAACTATCAATGAACGATTAACTTTTGAGAAACGTCTGCCGTTGGTAAATTATTAAAAATTTGTCTCGTGTCAATAAAAATGACAGGAAAACGTTTTTATTTTTGGAGGGGGTTTTGCTAGGGGATAATTGCTGATAAAAAATATTCATAATTAAATGCCATATTTTTCTGGATTTCTCAACGGCAGAAGCTTATATTGCATTATCCTATTTTGTATAATTTTTTAACTCATCAAAAGCCAAATAATTATTTTTTTAATTAATAATTCTCGTTTTTATGACATTTCTTGTTTACTTGTTGGTTATCTCCACATAAATTTATAATTAATTGGAAGATTGCTCCCACTATTTTGTCAATTAAAAATACCAAAAATAAATAAAATTTGGAGATAACCAACAAATACCCCTATTATTTATACCCATTTTCTTTAACAAAATCCACAAGATCTTTCACAAAATAATTTCATAAATTTAGATCCATCATCACATTCTCCATTTCTTGCCCAATAACTACAAAAATGATTTTTGTCAGTACATTTAGGTTTTGGAGAATCTAAATATTTATTTATTTTCATTTCAAAAATCATTTTTTCTAACCAATTTCTGAACGTTCTTCTCTGTCACAAAAACCACAAGATTTTCGGCAATAATGATTCATATATTTTGTTGAGTGCATACAATGCCCTAATTTTTCCCACATTTCACAATGAGCATTTAAATCAACACATTCATTGCTTATTTTCTCTTCTATTTTTGTCATTCCTTTATTTTTTCGGCCGAAAGCTAAAATGTAAATTAAAATTTTTGTCAATAAATTTTGATTAATTGAGTAATCAAAAATTAAAGCAGTTTTTGGGTTAGGATTTTTCCAATTCTTCAAAATAATAGAATGAAATTTACTGGCTAAACTTCTGGAATGACCTAATACCAAAGGGAATTTCTTCTGGAAATTGATTTTCCGGGAACTGCTGTTCCCAAGAAACTGCCCAAGAAAACTGTTTTCGACTTAGGACTTTTCAATTTGATTCTTTTTTAAACTTACACTTTCTATCCCCATCAGTTCTCCCACGTGTTGACCAAATTGAAAGTGTAATGAATTTTCTTGCTATACCACCAGGTAATAATTCAATTTCTTTAGAACGTGGTCCTTGTCTTTCTCTTGCTCCAGTTCTAATTTTTTGTTTTTCATTACTTTTTGTTTTTGTACTAATATATTCTTCTTCTGTTTCTTCATTTGTTCCTTCTGTAGTTGTTTCCTCTTCAAGTTCATCTACAGTAACTGCTGTTTCTTCACTTGTTGGAGATGTTGTTGTAGATGGTGGAGAACTTTCTGTTGTTGTTTCTGCATTTGAAATTAATTTTGGAAATGAAAAAAGTTTTGTTGAATCTACTTCCATCCCCTCCAATCCTTCCAAATTTAATTTCTACCTGTTTCATCTGTTGGCTGCTCATCACCTTCCTCTGTAGTTGTTTCTATTGTTGTTGCTTCTGTTGTTTTAGTTGTTGTTTCTGCTGTAGTAGTTTCAACTTTTTTCGCATCAGAGCATCGATAAAGTTTGTTGACCATAAACAAGAAATTTCGTTATTTTTTTAAATAAATTTTTCTAACCTTTTGTGAGTCGATCTCGCTCAATTTGTATCTACATACAAATAATTTTATTAGTAATAAACTTATTAAAAATATACCTCTGTCCAATTTCAGCGTCTCCTTTCTTCTAAAATAAAAAAATAATATTTAATGTAACTAATAATTAAATTTATTATTTAATCTAGATTGGATTTAAAGTGTATCTAGATAACAATTAACAATTATTACTAAAATAATATTAAGTATAACCAGTTAATAAATTATGAAAAGGACTGCGATTAAGTTTTGTGGATAATATTTCAAATGGGGTACGGCCCACCTTGTCGCGCGGCCACCTTGTCGCAGAGCCATAACTTCCTTCAAGTTTTCCGAATCTTACCAACTTTAGTATTAAACGATTCCTCACATCGAGCTAAAGAGATTGGTACCAAAATTGATAAGGGCCAGAAATTTTTTAGCAAGTTATGGCTCTGCGACAAGGTGGCCGCGCGACAAGGTGGGCGTGTCCCTTTCAAATGATATAACTAAAAACGTTTAAAAAATAATTTTATTTACCGGCACAATTGTTGGCCTTCCATTACGAGAGAATGCCAATTTATGATAATGCATCACAGAATCATAATCATAGGGCATAGTTAATGGATCTATAATTTTTCGGGGATATTTTTCAAAGTTTCGCAACATTCCGGGACGAATATTTTCTTCTTGTATTTCAACAAAATCGTCTCGATCAGTACGAGAATGTTCGTGGAAGAATCCAAGGGCATGCATTAACTAAAGTTTTTAAAAATATTTTTTATAATGTAGAAACTTAGAATTTGTAGATTCATTCTCAATTCGATTTATCGTCGATTTATCAATCGATGATCTATCTATCAATCGAGGCTTTCCACTGTTCTCTGATTTCTAACAGCAAATATCAAGGTATTAAATGATTTTACACTATTGTTTTACCGGAACCGAGGATCCAATTTAAGTTCCGGATCCCGGAACCAAAAAACGCCGGAACTTTCCGGAACCAGAACTGAAACTTTCGGTGAAACTCTAATATGTACGTACATTTTCTAGAGTGAATATTTGAAAAATGAAAAGTCAAAAAACACAGTTTATAATTTTTATTTCTTTCTAAATACTTTATTTTTCATCTGACTGTAATTAACCTTCTCAACAATTTTAATCAAAACAAAATTTAAAAAACCTCATGGGCAATAATTCCTTTAGAAAAGCATTTGTCTACTTCTAAAGAAACTGTTTGATTTCCCCCTGCACGGCCAACATAAGAAGAACAACTTTTTAAATAATTTAAAAATAATTTTAATTATTTTATCTAGTTACCCAAAAGCATTATTCCTCTTTATATAAATAAAATCTGGATCTGATTCTTGTCTAGGCACAAATCGAATACAAGTTTTGCCTTTATATTCATCAAAGGCACTAGCTATTGAAGCACGTTGACTTAAAAAATAAAGAATTTTGATTTATCCGTAACGTCCTATTTTTTATTAATTTTTTCCTATTTTTCATTCTTCTAATAGGTGCACGCGTGCTTCTATTTTTCGGTCCCCTCGTAGGGTGTGCTTCTATTAGAAGAAATACGCCAATTTAAAAAACTTTAGTCAAATCTCTCAATCCAAATATTTCGCCATTTTTTTATTTTACCATTCTTCTTAGAGCGGAATTTTCTATTAAAAATTCTACAGATTACATACATTTTTCCATTACAGGGTGACCCAAAAGAAACCGGCCAAGCTATTTTTGGCATAACTTTATTTAAATTAAAGATAATGAGATCAAATAAAGATGAAATTATAGAGAATTAAATGGAGAATAAGATATAAAAAGCTTTTAGAATTATTCCTATTCTACTTTGAGGTAAGGTTAAAGGAATGTGAGAAAAATTATTGCTCCAGGTCGCACCTTTTTTGAGGCATTTTGCCTATAACATTAGAACAGATTGCAGGAATTACACAAAATTTTTTTGGCATGTAGAGCAGTCTTTTATCTATAGAAATTATAAAGCAAAAAATTTTTTAGACTAATGCTTAAAGAGATATTCAATTGCGCGTAACCCTCCCAAAATGAGAAAATCGGATTCCCCCCAAAACTGATTTACATCTACTCAGAGCCATCCATGTAGGAGTTTGGATTTTTATCTTTCAGATTTGTCCGGTTCGCTAATGATCTTAATTAAATTCTGGGGGAAAAATTTTGATATGGTGCACCTAAAATTACGTAACTTTCTTAATCCTTAATCAAAAAATCTAATTTTACTATATGATAGAGAAATGAATGAGCTACAAAATAAACTTGGAATTATCTAAAAATGATATGAACAAAAAAAGTTATAAAGGATATAAAAGTGTCTGGTTTCTTTTGGGTCACCCTGTAAATAAAAATCACGTAACTTAAAATCCTTAATTTAATTAAAAAAACACACGTTGGACTCATTCCCTGTTCAAGTACATAAGGAACTTTAGCATCTGCCCAAAGTTTGTCTGCATAAGTTTGGGTATTTAAAGCACTGTAATACTATTTTTAAAAAAATAATTAATAATTCATGGAAATATTTTTTTAATTTACTGGAGTTCCAAACAAAGCTTTTTCTTCATCATTTCCATTTTTTATTAAATCAGAATTAAAAATTCTTTCCTCATTTAGTAATCCTCCACTAACTGGGTCAATACCCAAAATATCCCCTTTAAAGTTTTGTTTCTTTAAAATTTTATTTTAAAATTACCTTCAAATAATTCTTTATTTAAAATAGCATCTAATTCATAGGCATTCGGCTTTTTTACTTAAAAAAGTAAAAAAAAAGTTGAGGAATTTCTATAGTTTAATTTAATTTAAATTTAATCTCACTATAATTATTTAACTAAAGAGACGTTGATTAAATAAGGGTTATCATTTAGACAGCTTCCCTCCTTCCCAAACAAAATAAAAATTTTATTTTAAATCGAGGAATACCTAATTTTGGGAGTTTCCGAAAGGGAGGAGGGATTGAATTTAATATTCTTAGAAAGACTTATCTTATAAATTTTTGTCAAAATTCTATCAGAATTAACTCACTCGGTGTTTTAGATGCTAACTCAAAGTCTTCAGGTAAAAGATATTGTTCGGCGAAACCTTTTTTGAAATTTTTAAAATTATTTTCAATTTTCTATATTTAAAATTATAAATTAAATTTTGAAAAAACTAGTAATTGTGTTAATCCCCTTATTATTTTTTTTGGAAGTAGAGATTTTCAGAGTCTCATAGGCATTTTACTTTAATGTCTCCGACAGCTTAATTCTCTATCGACATTTTAATGCTTATTCAATTAAACCACAAGGACAGAAGTTTAAAAATCTAAAGGCCCTAACTCCGAAGGGAAAATTTAAAAAAAAATCCCTAAAAACTAACTATCATATTCTTGTCTTTGAATATTATAAAGCCTTAATTCTGGCATTGAAATACTACTGGCAGACAAAATTTGTTGTAAAATTGAAGAAAAAATGGTTAAAATAACGTAAAATTTTTTAGAATAATTTAAAGAGAAGAGGACCCGTTGAATTAAATTTTGTAAATAAATGAATTTGGAGGACATTCCCAACTAAAATAAAAAAAAGTTTAAAACTTTTGGGAAATTATTTTGAGTAATTAAATACGTAGTCTTTCCCCTTATTTGAGTTAAGATATTTCGTTCGTCTAATAATCTGATAGAAATTTTCCTTATACATTAAATCTTGTAAGATGGAACGTTTGGAGGAAATGGGAATATTTCTGCTGAGTTTGGCTGGACTTTTATTTTGTAAAATTGTTTCTGATAAGATGAGATCAAAAATAATTAAGTTACCTAGCTTAATTTAGAATGTTAAGTAAAATCCAGGCTTGGTAATGGATACGGATATGGATACAGATGAGCTTAAAATGCCTGCAGATATCCGTCTGTATTCGCTGTAAATATTCGGATACGGATACCAAAATCCATGTCCATTACCAAGTCTGGTAAAATTTAAAAACGAAAAATAAATAAAAAAATTTAATTAGACTAAAATGATAGCTGCCGACTAAGAATTAGAAAATTTTTAAAAGTTACTATGTATATTGTTAATTTTTTAAAGATTTTTGAAAAAAAGAAAATATTTCAATTAATTATTGAAGGAATTATTTTTAGTTAAAATTATTTTCCTCAATTGACCATCGAAAGAGAAAGTATTTTTCCTTTCATTCATTTCTTGCTTTAAAAATCTCTTGCGCATTTTATAAAAAAATTAACAAAAGATTACAAATAAATAAATATTTAAAAATAGTCCCAGTCAATTCCTTCTCTCTTTTTTTCAAATAACAAAAGAAAGGAAAGGGCGCAGAGGAAGGGATAGCTTGACCACCTTTCGGGAACAAAAATAGATTTTGTATATTTTTGAGAGAAAAATGTCCTTAGATTTTGAGGGAAAATTTTCTTTGACTAAAAATTAACGAAAAATAAATAAATTTTTGCTGGGATAATTTTAACTAGTTACTAATTATTTTATTTTTAAATATGTTAAAGTGAAAAGACTAGAAGTTTAAAGGGAAATTGTACAAAATAAAATTTAAATTTTATAAAACGATCTTTAATAATTTCTACTTTTAAAAGAATTACTTTGAGAGAGAGAGAGAAAAATATGACAAAAATTTTGATTATCGAAAGTTTTAGCGATCTTAATTCTCATATGACCCTCCGTCCGGTCTCTAATCTTAACTAGAGCTGTTTCGAAATTTCGATTTTAGACTTAGGGTATTTTCCTTTTGATTTCAAATTTTTAAGATTTTTTGTTTCGAACCGCTCTAGTTGGAATCAAAATAATTTTTTTATAAAACTTTTAAATTAATTTATCCCCAGTTTTATTCAATAATTATTTTATTTAAATCTCAAAAATTTATTTTTTAATTTCAAAGCTATAAATAATCTTTACAAATTTTTTTACATATTCTTCTCCTTTTTTAACTTTTTTGCCAACATCCAAGCATATACAAATGCTCTCCATTTTCCAATTTTTCCCTATTTGGGGCAAAAACTTTTCTAAAATTATTTCCAAATATTTTAATCCAAAAGGGGGCCTAAATAATTTTTTTAAAAATTAAAAGAATTTTTCAATTTTAAACAAACCCTTTCCAATAACAATTCATATCTTGAAGAAGTCTTTTTAATTCCTCGAAGAATTTGTTTATTTATTTTTGTTAGAGGAGAAATTAATTTTAATTTTGAATTTTCTGCATATTCTAATGTTAATTTTAACTTTAAATTAATTTAAAATTAATTTAAAAAAATAAAAAAATCTTCTCACTCCTTTGGATGTTCTAATGTCTGTCCAACATAAATAACCTCCTTTTTTGAGAACTCTAAAATTTTTATGATTAAGAATACTGTTAGGAGAGTACATATATACACATTAATTATCTCATTCAATTTATTTACTTCCTTCCCAATAGGTAAAACCCTTTTTAAATCCTTTAAAGGGATTAGAGTAACACTTGATCTAAAAAAGTTTCTTGATCTAAGACAACAAGGAATGTGCCGCCCTGCGTCACGATTCCAGAAATCTACTATTAATGTCAGCAAAATAAGCTTTTATGTCACTTACTCCCTCAAGTCCATAAAATCAGTCCTTAAAATAAATTTAAAAATTTACCGGCTAACTTCATGAAAGAATTCCATTTCTCCTTCCCCATAACAATGGCTACTTTCCACGTTAATTATTATATCAAAAGAACAATCAGCAAAAGGCAATTTTTCTGCCATACCAGAAATAACATTAATACCCAAAGAAAGACTGTCAGAAGGTGGTGGATGTCTGTCCAATCCATAAAGAGAACCGATCTCTGGGTGCGCTCTGTAAAAGGATATTATTGACTTTTGAATTATAATTAAAAATAAAAAGTAAGAATAAATGGGCCTGCGTAGTCCGGGAAATCTTAAGAGGTCTAACCATACAATTCCACCATCCTTTTTTAAGAAAACTTTCTAGTTCCCATTCAGACTATTAAAATTGTCAATTAGTTGGAATTGCCACTTATTAACTTATTTATATATAAGTATATTATATATTATACCACTTATTAACCACTTATTACATTTTTTCAGAAAAAAATTCACAAATCATCCTACTTACACTTTTATCCAATTCAATCCACCACCAGGACCACATCCAACTTCTAAAAGTTTTAAACCCTTCAATGATTCATATAAAGGACATTGAGCTAATGTTATCTCATAAAGTAAACAATGAGCATGTAAAGCATCTCCTTCTATTCCTTTTGGGAAATTTCCAACTGATTGGACTAATTTTGTTAGAGAATTAGGTTGTGAACTGAAATATACATAGTTTTTATTTTTTTAAAAACTTAAAAGTAAATAAAATCTCTGCCTTTTTCCTATACTAAATTGGGTGAGGCTGAATAAATTGAGGGATTTTAAATTAATGTGTTAAGCCTCTGATTTTATTTAGGGATATTATGATTGTAATAAATTGAAGGAATAATGTAGGAAAAACAACTAGTAATGATTTTCTATTAAAGTTTCTAAGCAATTAATTTTTTAATAATATTGTTAGCAAAATTTTGAGATGGAAAAATCTACTATTCTATCTCGTAAAATATATTTCAGTTTGCTATCATACTAACTTTAATTTACTTGCTAAATATCAGTAAAGCAGTTGGGCTATAGCTATTTCCCTCCTCTAGCTAGTGCATAGGGTTAATCGGCGGCTCTGAGCGAACCAGCATCTCACTAGACCACGCCGCCTATTGCACAGCCTTAGGAAGCTACATATATGCTTTAAATATCCAAACTTTTTGAGAACGGAGAGATTAAACAAAAATAAAATCTTTTACAATTTATTATTATTATTTTCATCCTCATCCTCAACATAACCATGATTCAAAAAATAAATATCAAAAATTCCTTCTTTTTGTAAAAGTCCAAGTAGTGGATAAAGCAATAAATTATTAAATAAATTAATCCACAAAGAATAAATTAATTTAAAAATTTTCTTAAAATAAATAAATAAGCTCATTTAATTGAAAAAAAATAATTTCTTTTTGTAAAGAAGTTGTGATGGAAATTTGATTAAAAATAAAAATGACGATTTTTTGTTGCGGTGATTTTATATTTAATTTATATGTATTTATTGATGTAAAAAATGAATCGGAATTTATTGAAGAAATTGGGAGAGAGAGTAAAGAATTAATTAATTTTTTTTTGAAAATTTTTTTTCAGAAAGGAAAATGTAATTTAAAATTAGGTAATTTTAAATTATATATTTATATTTGACTATCTTGTTCCTCTCCATTTTTGGATTTGTAATTTGATTCAAAAATAGATTAATTCAGGAAATATTTCCATTCTCTCGATCAATTTATGTACCTAATTAAATACGAGAGTTTTGAAACTTAGAACATGAAGAAGGAAAATTTATTTTTAGTAAACGCCCTTTCACATAAACCTTATGATTAAATTAATTTCTAATAAATTAATAAAATAATATTTTTTTCTCAATTAATGAAAATATTTTAATTATTCGCAATATTGTTTTTTTAATCATAAATTGCTAAAAATATTTTCTAATTACGTAAGTTATGGGGAGAGAGAGAGAGGGAAAATTGAAATTAGAAATACAAAATCTAAACACCTTCAAATATTTGAATACCTTAAATTAGACCCCAGATCCCCAAATCTATAAGATGGGGCACTTTTGGTCATCTTTTTCCTTTATTTTTCCATTTAAGTACTTTTACTTTATTTACAAATGTCCTTCCGTTATTTTTTTTTATTTTTTTATTTATTTTTTGTAAAATAAATATGTATTTGTTTCCTTGACAACATAAAAATAAATATTTTTATTTCTTAAGGAAAGTGTCTAAATATATTTAAAAACATTTAGCTTAAAATATTATAAAAAATCCACCAATATTTTTTTTCAATAGAATTTAATATTTTAAATAAATTGGTATGCTTGTTCCGTTCATTTTCCTTTTATTTTTTTTTAAATTTTCAATCACGCAATATGCATGAATGAAGCCAATTTTTTGCCTAAATATTTCATTAAAAAAGATATTAATTTATGTATATTCTGTATTTTACTTTAAATTCGTTAAAAAGAAGCCTATAATTTCATAGGAATATTTCTAAAATATTTTGGTAATGGGGTATTTCTTAAAATATTATCTAAGTATATTTGTAAATTTATAATTTTAATACCTTATGTGTTGGAATTTCAATTGTATGGGCTTTGGCGATGCTCGGGTATCCCGATCCCGACTCCCGTTTCCCGGGGGTTTTTCTTCTCCCGAGCATTACTTATAAGCTTACTTTAATATATTTTGGTATTTATCAAAACAAAAAATGCAGTCTTACTTTTATCAAATAGCTTTGATAGAAGAAATTAAAATCTTTATGATAAAATAATCAAAAATCGACCGCTAACAATTTTTTTGGAATAATAAATCGAAAAATGTATTTTTCAATATTAGTATAGCTTCTTTAAAAGTTTAAAATATTTATTAGAATTTTAAAAAAGTTTAAGAAAATACATAAATATGGGTGAAAAATTCATCAATGGAAAGAAAACTATTTTTTATTCTCCATTTCCCCCAATTAAACAACAAAATCAAAAGACTAATTTAGCCTTACAAAAAATAAATAATTCAAAACAAACCTACAAAAAACACGTTTTAAAATCTAATATTTTTTCTCAATCTCCAACATCTTCTAATGGACGTTGGCCAAATTTACTGAATAATAAAAGAAATGATGGACCTCCCCCTATAAGGTTTGGATGATTTTTTATTGATAAATTATTCAATGCTATTTTCAATGTTAAAATACCGTAAATTCTCTAAAATAAGCCCCGGGGCTTATTTTTTTCGATCGACCTCAAAAGGGGGCTTATTTTGGAGGGGGGCTATTTCAGAGGATTTACGGTATTTTATTTCCACGTTCTATTCCCATTAAATGTTAAAGGAAATATTTAATAAAATTTAAATGAAAATATTAATTTTAAATTATTATTCAATTTTCTGATAAATCTCATAATTTTGTGTCAGTTAACAAGCTATTTTTCCACTATCATCTTTCAAAAGATCGCTGTCTCATATGCTAATCATTAAGAATAAGTGTAGGGTTAAAATGTTTTGAATATATAATTTCATAAAGAGAGAGACTAATCCAAAGGATTTAGATAATATTTTTTAATAAAAATTAATTAAAGATTGTCTGATTCAAATCCAACTCCTAAACAATTAGAATGGCAAAAACAAAGACGTGTCCAAACCCGACAGTCTGCCATGAATTACGGTGGTAGCTTAGGAGGACCAAAAATTGTACAAAAACATGCTGAAATGCGTGCCTATTTATTGCATTGTCAAAGGGTTTGACCAATTATAAATTTTTCGAAATAATTTTAAAAAATAATTTTTTAAAGGTGCTAACAGCTCGTTCCAGGTATTCTAAAAATATTTCTAAAAATTCCCTAAATTTTTTTTTCGAAAAGATTGGACACCGGCAGATGCCGTCAACAATCTATTGGGCATTCAATAACCTCTTCTTCAATAACAACATCCCCGTCAATGGATGGAAGTTGGCCCACAACAATTGAAGGATTAACTGTGGGAATTAAAGGAATGAGGGCTAGTTCAGTTCCTACAAAAAGGCGAATAATGACGGTAAATAAATTAATTAAAGGGGGATAATTAATTGAGGATTTCCTCTTATTTTATTTTTGTGCTGACAGATTTCTCCAATAGATAAATAAAAATTTTTTTGGTTTTATGGCGAAAAAATCCAAACCCGTTAATGAAGAGATAGCAAAAAATCATAAATTGATAGCCATCCTCGTATAGTTTAAGTTTTTCCTACCTCGAATTACCTTTCTTTCATTTAAAATCCCTTTTAAAAACCAAAAAATTCTTTTTAATTTTAGGATGCTGAAAAACAACTTAGAGATGAAAATAAAAGGCTTTTAGAGCGTCTAGTCCAAATAAGTACTCGCTCAACATCTTCAAAACCAAAACTAAATGGATTAACAAAAGAGAACGAAAGAATTAAAAGAACACTTTCAGCATCTTTAAAAAATTCTAGAATAAAAGAAAATGACGAAAGAAAAATGTCTGATAATTCTATTATTTTTCAAATTAACCAAATTAAAAACACAACTAAATAATTGCTAAAATAATTTTTGAAAATTTATAAATATTTCTAAAAAGGAAAAGAAAAAAATTAAAATTTTAAATATATAAAATCCAAAACAGCTTAATTAAATGACAAAAATAAACGTTTTTTGAATTTTTATAATGGCTATAAACTGATATGGTGATTGGTAAAGATCGGACAAATGACTGATCTTTAGTAATTGTTACTCAATTGCCGCTTCTTAGAATGCCACGATAGTCTAATTTTAAAAGGAAAGAACAAAATAAGAAAGTTGTCGCTAATTAGGATATCTAATAAATTATCCTGGGTGATTTTATATAAACTTTTCAGTTATAAATTAGGTAAGTTAACTTTTAGTATTATTGAGAAAATTGAAAAAAAATTGAGAGAGCTCTTTTAAAAATAATTTTTTACTCTCTAGTATTATTTCATCCAAATTTTATTTTGTTGAATATCGGGAAAACTAAAATAATATCGACCACACACTAACTATTATTAAATAAATCTTTTCAATCCCTTAACCCGATCATCTCTTTCTATTCAATTCTATTCAATATATTCTTGCTCAATTATTTTATTTAGAACATTTATTTTTTCGTTTTTTAATTGTTATTTGGAGAAAAAAAAAGAAAGGAAATGAATGGGGCGACCTTTCGTCGCCAAAAGCCTCCCAATTGTCGCAAAAAATCAAAGCGCGAGATCAATCGGAGGTAGGATAATACAAAAATATTTAATTATTGTATTCTACCAAATAAGGTTACGCATTCTTTCCTCATAATTCTACATATTGTTTTTTGTTGTAAATAAGGTGAATTTCTGTTCAAATATTTAATTGAATTTTTGAAGAAAATTTTTTTCCTAAAAACAATAAAGGAATTTTTATTTATGTTTTGTAAGAAATATTAAAACAAAAACTTTTGTTTTATTAAGTTGTGTATTTACTTCCGTTTTGTTAAAGACGGTTTAGCTAAGCATAATTTTCCTCAAACAATCAGAACTTTCGATTATGCCACACCCTGTATGTATAATTAGACGATTAAGAATATATGTACATATATTACTCGTTGGAGTACTCGTCCAGTGTTCCTGTTATTAATAAAATCTTTAAATTATTTTTTTTCAAAAATTACTAATTTTTATTTTTTACATTTTTCCATCACCCATTTTTCCTCTGTTTGTTAATAAATAGATATCATCTGTTTATTTATTACAAATTAAAATAAAACGGGATGAATGTGAGAAAATGTATTTTTAGTTTATTTATTTAATTATTATTTTTTTAATTGATTCATCTTTCAGTTATTTTAAATATTTTTTCAAATAATTAATAAAAAAATTAATTTTTGTAGAATTTAACACACTTATAAATAGTAGAGATTTAAGTAACAAAAAAATATTGTTGTCATTGTTTAATAAAATATTTTATAAATTAATTAAATAAAAAACAAAAAAATAATTTTTCTATTTTTTATTTCAATTAAAAGAAATAAATCAGTCATTTAATTTAAAGCTTAGTTTCTATTAGAAAACATTTTACATAAGCGTATATAATTATTTCTATTTGTTTTAGTAATTCTAGAAATAAAAAATAAAAATTAATTTTTATTCGAAGAAATAAATTTAGGTATTTATTCTTTGATGAACATATTTTTTCTATAAATTTTGAAAACGAATAGTATTTATAATATGCTTACAAAATACATACCTATGTTTCCTAATTCATATTTTGTAAGTTCACCTATTATTTTATTATTATTGACAAACGAGATCCTTCCGAAATCTTTTTTTTTAATTATTTTATAATTTTCTAAATTGAAATAAAATAGTCGGTAACGTGATCCCAATTATTTTACACATATTCTATCATCACGGCCATCCCCCTTTTTTAATTTTCATTGTTTATCCCTTATCTATCAAGCATCCACATAATTATTAACTCCAAATATTTTAATTTTTATGAATTGAATTAAACTATTACATCTATTTAATAGGTAGATACAAGAAAAAACAAAAAATAATACTTTTCTTTCTTAAAATGTTGCTTCATTTTTATTTTAAATTTAATTATTTTTTACAGAAAAAATATAAAGCAGATGTTGTTGTGTGGATTTAATACTTGAGATGCCTTTCTTTTTTTAATTTTATTTCTTCCTTCAATCATTCTACTCAAAAACCCTTTATAATACCAAACACTTCTTCTCTCTCTCATCACTCATTTTCTCATAAAATGACCACAAAAATGAAAAAATTTCTTCTTTTTATTTTTTTTTAAATTCTGTCAATTGACAATTCTTCTTTTTATTTTTTAAGTGCTTCCAAATTATTTTTACGATTATGCTAATAAATTAATTTATTTTTAAAAGTTATGTTTGTGTTAATTTATTACGAAATAAAGTTAGGATTGCAAGTTAAGATATAACCGAATTGGAAAGATACACAACTTGGAATCTTTCCGAGTAGGGTTATCGGTTCTGGACCGAACCGAAGAACCGATGATTTTTCGGTTCGGATATCCGAAGATTTTCCAAGAACCGACAACCCTATTTCCGAGACATCACTCTTTGGGGCAAATTTAGTTGCCATTGAAGGAAATGAGGAATTTGATATTTATTTTTTTATTTAAAAATAAGGGATGTTTTTTGTTGCAACCCTGCTAAAAAATCATTAAAAAATCCCCAAACACCTTCTATTTAATGACCTTTGTTTTTTCTGATTATTATCTTATAACCATCATTCTGTCACTTTCTTCAACATGTACAAATCAAAGTAAATGTAATTCTCTCATTTCTTTCTATAAATCTTAATTGTTAACTCATATTAAAAATTATTTTACTACTAAATAGTATTTTGTATTTATTTAAGAAAATTTAATAAGAAAGAATAAATTAGCTTCAAAATATTTAACAAAGACTTGAAGTAAGACTGGAAAGTTTTTCTCTCTAATTTTTTAAAATAATTACCTTAATTTATACTTTCCCGTTTTTGTATCACCGTTTCCAAATAATTGAGTGTAAAAAACAGAAAATTCTTCAATAAATAAATTTACTTTACTTTCTTTTAAAATTTTTTTCTAATTTTTTGCACCTGTCACTAACAAAAAAAACTCTTCAAAAAATTACTTTTAAACAATAAATATATTTAAATAGTATATACATTTGCATTTTTTAACTTTTTGTGACGGCCAAAAAATGGATTAGCAGTAAAATTGAGAGAGCTACTAACTCTCTCCAACGGACATTTTTGAATTGGACGAAAAAAGACGAGGGGGAAAGACCTCCTCCTTTCCTCTTCTGTCCACTCTTTTATTTAATTTTTGCTTTTTCATCGGCTTTGAAATAAAAAAATATTTTTTTTCAATTCCCATATCTCTAAGTTTTTATTTTTGTTTTTTAATTTAGTTAAAAGTAGAGTTGATCAAGACGAGACCGATACCGAGACCGATACCGAGATTCTCGGCTTTTTTCCAATATCGGTCTCGGTTTTTTCATTCTCGGTCTCGAAACCGATACCGATATTCTCGGTCCATTTCTCGGCGAGAAACGATACTGACTCAAAGAAACAAGATTCTCTATATTGTCCAAGTTATCGTCCATAACAGAGAAAGTGAATTTTTTTCGAATACGGTCTTCTAAAATTCAAAAAATTTTCGCCTGCGGCGCTGAAAAAGGAAGAAATTTTGTGACTTTGCCTTCCAAAATTTAATAAATTTTCGTCTGCTGCGCTGAAATGTTGAATTTTCCGAGCCCTCGGCCGTTAGATTTTCAAGATTTTGATTACAGAGCCTTCCGATTTTCGGCAAATGTTATTCCCACCTGTGGATTAAGGGGATTTAAAATGATCGGAAGCAGGGATGAGCGCATTGAGTTTGCGTATCTGAGGGCAAAACTTGGAAGAAATCTGGCTTCATGGCCTTCTAAAATTCTCAATTTTTGTCTGCGGCGCTGAAAATAGGAAGAATTCTGGCTTTCTGGCCTTCCAAAACTACAAATTTTCGCCTGCGGCGCTTAAAATTAGAAAAATTGTTGACTTGCACTTCTAAAATTCTCAAAATTTTTGCCTCCGGCGCTGAAATCAATTGTTTGGTTAACCGAAATTTTCACTTCGCGCGGATACCCGCGGATGGACATGCCCTAAAAGTTGTACGGATATAAACGGATACGGATGACGACCTCACGGATATACCTATTCGGATAAGGACACAAAAATTTGTATCCATTGCCAAGCCTGATCGGATCCAGACGATGAAGAGTATTTATCTTATGATTTGGATGATGAAAATAATGAATAAATTATTTTTACACGTAATTTTTGACATAAAATAAAAATTCTGTTAGTCTCGGTCAGTATCGTTTCTCGGTATCGGTCTCGGCTCAAAATGTTGGTATCGGTCTCGGTATCGGGTTCTTGAGTATCGGTCAATCTCGGTCTCGGGTTGGCCGATACTAGTATCGTTTTGATCAACTCTAGTTAAAAGTACTTTAAGTTAATTTTTTAAATGAAATTGTATATTTATTTCGAAATCTGGATATAACAACAATAATAATAAACTCAGGAGTTTGGCTTAGACTGAGTTTAATGAATGATTTATCCAACCCTTTATCCTCCACCTTTTAAATGTTCAGAGAATAATCGGTAAAGAATAATTCCCCGTTCAATCTATGTAGGTACTACCGTATTTTCTCTAAAATCTGTCCTCTCTTTAGCCTTCTTCTACTAGAAGTCGATCGAAAAAATAGCCTCGGGGCTATTTTAAAGAAAATTAGAGGTATTTAAATACCTAAAATATTTAAATATACAAAAAATCCTTTAAATATCCACAGCTGCCTTTAAATTCCTCAAATTCTTCCTTTTAATTTTTCCATTTATTCTCCCATTTGTTGTTTTCTTAAAATGCCATTTTCTTTGTCCAGCCGGAGCCTAAAACAAAAATGTAAAAATGCCAATCTCTTTTTATTTTCCCATCTGCCAAAACATTCTCTCCCTCTCTCTCTTTCCTTCATTTACATAAAC